TTTTTTTTTTTTTTAAGAAAGAATGGGAAAACTTGCTGAATAGACAAAAACAATAGCTACCATAGAACACTGCAGAAATCATTTGTTTACTGGGGTACTATAATGTGATTGGCATAATCAGGGTCAAGGTTGGTATTTGATCCATTTAGGGATTTGCCTATTCAAGAGGAGTAGATGGGTGAAAGATAGTCCCAACAAAACCATGGAATGGAAGATGGGGTTCTCTGAGGGAAGAGATGCTGAGCAGATGAAATAATATGCAATATTATTATAATTTGCAATAAGAAAGACGAAAAGAACATATAAAATGCATGACAGTATAAATGTTCATCTATGTCATTGAATGACAGATGAAAGCTCAGAGGCAGGGGAAAACAGTATGTCTTGGCATCTTCAAAAAAGATTTCATGGAGCAGTCCAAATTTTGAGCTTGACTTTAAAAAATAAGTCACTGGGTTTAGTGAGTTTACAATTTTATAGGCTGTTATTTAAACCATGGGCTTTTTGGAAATCCTGTGGTTAGAGGTTAGGGGTGCTTTCCAGGCTCTAACAAGCCTTGGTATTTTTAAACATTAGATCAGGATCTCTATTAACTAATTATAGTTGTTGTAGACTGTTTGAACTGGACTTTGTCAACTTTTCTCCTTTTTTATGTGAAATCACTCTCACCCTTTGTGACCCATAGGTCAGTTCCCACATGTTGTATAGAGCTTTCTGTAAACCCCACTCCACAGCGTCTCACACTGGTTTTCTGTGCATTTGGCACATAGCGTATACCCTCCTGCCCTGCATAGCTTCCATTTTACATGCCTGTTCTGCTTTTCGGGCGATGTACTCAACTCCCTTAAGACAGAGACCAGCTTGTACCCTCCTGTTCTGTCTTAGCAGTGTTCTATCTATCTGGAGGTAAAAATTAGCAATAGTTGTTATTAAGAAAAAATACCACACAAGATTTAGGTAGTGTTAAATTATTATTATTTGTCCTTACAACACTATTGAAAGTATTGAAAGTCAAGGAAGCTTTGTGGAAGAGTTTGGGCTTAGCCTAAAAACAGTGAGGAACCACTAAAGGGAGTTACTTACATTTGTATTTTAGGCAAATGACTCACTACAGATTGAGGAATGAGAAACATGGCTGAATGTGAAGACCAGAAAGGAGACTTTGCAGTAGTCTAAGCGCAAGATGATGGTGGTGTGGGCTGGTAATAGCAAGGATGGAGAAAAGTGCATGAATTTGAGGGATATTTAGGTGATGGAAGAGATGAAACTTAATGATTGATTGGAAGAGTCTTATAGAAATCACACTCTTTCCATATGGATGTCATTTACCCAAAGCATAAGCTAGTAACAGGAACAAACATTAAATCATCAATGTTAATTGATTTGATTGATATTCTTGCATTAAGCCAGCGATTTTTATTATGCTTGAAAGCTATGTTGTGTACTAATAATTTCATACATGAAAGAGTAACTCAAATGTAAATATGGGCAAAAAGAGAAAGCTGAGGGACAAGGCTGTCATAGAGTTTTACAACTTATTAAGGGACCTTGGATAGATCCTCTATTCCAAAGCTTTCTTTTGTCAAAGAGAGCAGGCCCAGTGCTTCCTTTTGCAGAGAAGATAGGACTACTGCTATACAATAACAGAACCATGGTTAAATCTTAGTTCTGATTCAAAGTCTGCCATTCTTTCATCATTTCACTAGAATTTTTTATACAAAAGATTGTTAAATGTTATATAAATCCTTTTAAAATGAGAAGTGTATGAACTACTTAGGAAGCTAATTTTTTTTTTTAATGGTAAATTCCTAGGGAAGTTCAGATATTTATAGACTTAGATAAGAGATGGCCATCAGTTATTATTTTTCTTTTGCTTCAGTGATGTTGTATGGTCTTGTATATAAGAGAGAGAAGAGGAGAGATTCAGAGCCTTGTAACGTGACACCCACCTATGTCAACGCTATCTACCATGGGTTGGCAGTGCACAGCATGGGCTAACAGTGTCCATTCTAGACATCAGTAAAGTGAAAGGTAGCCTGGCCTGATCTATGCCTTTAGCCCCATCTGCTGGATTACTTATGAAGTACTTAAGTTTGTTGACTGGATATTTCAGATTGGTTATGCTGTGCACTACTCTGTGTTGTCCAGGAAAGGTAGGGGTAGAATTTAGCTGTAAAATTTACACGCTGAGTGAAGTGAAAATTCTAGGATAATAGATTTAGAATTAAATGTAAATCTTCTTAGCCTAGTACTCTCTCTATATCATTGCATCAGAAATCAAGTAAAAACAACTAAAAATATGAAGGGTGTGTTTTTTTTTTTTTTTTTTTTTTAAGAAAGAATGGGAAAACTTGCTGAATAGACAAAAACAATAGCTACCATAGAACACTGCAGAAATCATTTGTTTACTGGGGTACTATAATGTGATTGGCATAATCAGGGTCAAGGTTGGTATTTGATCCATTTAGGGATTTGCCTATTCAAGAGGAGTAGATGGGTGAAAGATAGTCCCAACAAAACCATGGAATGGAAGATGGGGTTCTCTGAGGGAAGAGATGCTGAGCAGATGAAATAATATGCAATATTATTATAATTTGCAATAAGAAAGACGAAAAGAACATATAAAATGCATGACAGTATAAATGTTCATCTATGTCATTGAATGACAGATGAAAGCTCAGAGGCAGGGGAAAACAGTATGTCTTGGCATCTTCAAAAAAGATTTCATGGAGCAGTCCAAATTTTGAGCTTGACTTTAAAAAATAAGTCACTGGGTTTAGTGAGTTTACAATTTTATAGGCTGTTATTTAAACCATGGGCTTTTTGGAAATCCTGTGGTTAGAGGTTAGGGGTGCTTTCCAGGCTCTAACAAGCCTTGGTATTTTTAAACATTAGATCAGGATCTCTATTAACTAATTATAGTTGTTGTAGACTGTTTGAACTGGACTTTGTCAACTTTTCTCCTTTTTTATGTGAAATCACTCTCACCCTTTGTGACCCATAGGTCAGTTCCCACATGTTGTATAGAGCTTTCTGTAAACCCCACTCCACAGCGTCTCACACTGGTTTTCTGTGCATTTGGCACATAGCGTATACCCTCCTGCCCTGCATAGCTTCCATTTTACATGCCTGTTCTGCTTTTCGGGCGATGTACTCAACTCCCTTAAGACAGAGACCAGCTTGTACCCTCCTGTTCTGTCTTAGCAGTGTTCTCAATTAATGGTTAGCTGCCTGATTAGTAAAGAACTAGCTGATGTTAATTCTTTCCTGAAAAAAGCCTCAAGGGGTTTAGTGTTCTACTGGCAGTCATTGAAAATTAAGATTTAATTTATATCAGAAAGGTATAACTGGGTTACTGGTAAGAAGTAAACTTTTTCAGGAAGCTTAAGAATCCTCATAAATAAGATCTTTGTTTATTTCATTTTTTTTTAACAGAATACTTGTTGTGTACAAGCCTACTCAGCAGGGATCCTTTCCTAAATTACGTTTTCTGCCTCCTTTTCAAAGGAACTGTACCTCTAGATTAAGAAAGATCAGCTTTTTCCAGATCTGATGGAAGAGATCAATTGGATCTCTTACCCTGCTGATTCTTCGCAGTAGCAGCTGAGAGTGGCAAGGTTCTTACCATACCCATTACCTACCTGTTACCATATTTATCCCCAAATGAAGTGTAATGAGTGAAAAAACTTCCCCTTTCCCCAGCTTCTTCTTTTCAAAATACTTGGGCTTTAAAACAGTCAACAACTATGGACGATGTTAAATGACAATCACTGCTTCTACGATATAGATGAGAAGAGAATAGTGTGCCTTCTCAGGATACAGCCTCAGATGTTTGGCTGAATTTTCTCTTTTCATTGACTTGATCAGGTTGTCAGCTGTGAAGTAGTTATTTTTATTCTGTGACAAAATAATCCTTCCTATTTGTTTCAGGAAAAACTCTCTCAAATTGTGTTTTTCCTCTACTCTCACACTGCAACAATTATCAACACAGAAGACTTCTGTGACCAAACATAGGGGAATTTTCCCATACACACACCAAGAAGCAGACACCAACTGGGCGTCTTCCAATTCAATTCCAACACTATTTCTCTAGAGATAGTGTCAAATCCCACAGATTGAGGGCTCAATCCCCAAGACTGCTCCCTACAACTCCAAACACCAATCATAAATCCAGGCTTCCAGAACTTCTGACCAACCAGCTGGTTTCAAGTTGGGGTTTTCATGATACCCTCTTTGGGTTCAGTTAGTTTGCTGGAACAGCTCACAGAACTCAGGGAAAACTTATTTACATTTACTGATTTATTATAAAGGATATTACAGAGAATTCAGATGAAGAGATGTGTAGGGCGATATGGGGGAAGGGGCACGCCACCCTCCAGGAACCTCCATATGTTCAGCTATCTAGAAGTTCCCCAAACCCAGTCCTCTTGGATTTTTATGGAAGCATTCTTTCACCCAGGGTATGAGGCAGGACCCTCTCAGGGAGGAGTCTTAAGACCCACAATCAGAAAGTGGGGTGGGGAAGAAGATTAGAGGCCTGCCTAGGGACCAGTGGAAGGAGGACAAGAGAGGAGATTCTGTTTCCTGAGACCTAACTTACCCAACATTGTAGCAAAAAACTGTAACAAAGGACATGGGAGTTTTGATTCAGGAACCCTGGACAAAAACCACCATGTCGTAACACCATACTATTTATTACTATTTTTAGCATGTCAAGGGACATCATGGAACCTACCAAATGTATATGTATGCATAATGAAGCATTTAATTATATCTCTTTTAAAATTGTTTTCTTTCACATTGCCTTATGACTTTAACCATATATATGTTCTCTGAGTATATCTGATATGGTCCCTACTTACTTGGTATTCTTTCATATCAACTAGCCAGTATTGAAGATGTGATCAACATTCAGCAAATACTTTAAATATTTATTAGTAAATAGATTATTTTTAGAGGCTTTGGAATTGCTTCCATTTTACTAAATATTTTATATTATAAATGTTTTCTATAAGCAAGAGAGTTAATATTTTAGAATTCTTTCTCTTTTACCTGGTCTTACTGATGGGTATAATATGCTAATTTTTTTAGTATATTGCTTTCTACAATGTTTATATTAACTTATGTTTCTGTTGAATTTACTAAAAACATGGCATATAATAATTTGGGAAAATTGTTTTTGTAAGTCCATAGAAGAGAAGCTTTCTCTAGCACAGGAGGACTTGATTTCAAACAGAAATCAAATTGGAAATCAAAATAAATTGATTCAAGAACTGAAGACTGCCAAGGCTACATTGGAGCAGGATTCAGCAAAGAAAGAACAGCAATTGCAGGAGCGATGTAAAGCACTACAAGACATTCAGAAAGAAAAGGTATTGCATGTTTCTGACCTAAATCTACAATCTTAGAGTTACAATTGTCTTAGAGATCATCCAGTCAATCCTCTTATTCAGTACAGGCATCATCCTTATTTTCAACAGCTTTCTCAGAGGGACCTCTAGTTTCTGACACTTTTGATCATTGGGATTTTAATGCTAGGAAGTACTTCTTAATGGCCTCCTTGTTATTTCTACCCTTTTTTCTTACTGCCCTTTTTAGTTTTACAAACAAATCAATTTTTCACACCATAGATCCTTGGTTATTTCAGGAAAGATAATATAGTTCCTCAACTATTTCTCATATAACGTTATCCTTTAGACACGTGAATGAGATAATAAAAGATCTAGAAATAATTCTTAAGTGTGTTAAGGACTCTTAAAATTAAGAACCAGAGTGTCTAAGGAGTTTATTAAGTTACAAAGTTGAAAGCATTCATTTATTAATAGATGACCAGTACATTTTTAAAATCACTTTAAATTCTATATGAAAGAAAAATTCAGATCCTAGGGAAGAGTTTATTTTTTGTTTTATAGTTGAAATCATACATTCCTATTAGCTGACAGGATATTACTCTGCAGTGTATAATCCCTAAAATTCTTGGTATATTCTGAGTGGTTCAGTTCCTGAAATTTAATTTAAAAATGTTTTGTGGGTGTGGTGATGGTGAAGCTGGAATGAAATTCATGATTTGTGCTTCAGGTTTAGAGAATTCTGACAGAACTATTGTTCATAAGGCCAGGTTTGATGGCTCATGCCTGTTATCCCAGCACTCCCAGAGGCCAAGGAGGAAGGAGTGCTTGAGCCCAGGAGTTCAAGATCAGCCTGGGCAACATAGTGAGACCTCGTCTCTATTAAAAAAAAAAAATTAGCCGGGCATGGTGGTGCACACCTGTAGTCCCACCTACTTGGGAGACTGAGGTGGGAGGATAGCTTGAGTCTGGGAGATCAAGGCTGCAGTGAGTGAGCCATCATCTTACCACTGCACTCCAGCCTGGGTGATAGAATGAGACCCTGTTTCAAAAAGAAAAAGAACTGTTGTTTATAGGAGTTTAGTTGTGAGAGCTTTACATCAGACAGACTTGCTTTGTTTTTGGCTCTACCTCTGATAGATTATTTCATGTCTCATAAACCTTTGTTTCCTCACCTAGAAAATGGAGTTTTAAAAATCTACATATACTAGAGATTAACTGAGATAATATGTAGTGCTCCTAACTAGATACCTTATATAAAGATAGTGATAGTAATAAAATAGGAGTTATAAGAGTAAGAATGGTAGTTTTGGCTAAATTTTACAACATCATTACTCTGACCAGGTACTCTTTATCTCACAATATTAACTATAACTATTTAATGTTTACAATTATCTTATTATTATTGTTCACACTGTATAAATAAGGAAACACGCAAGAACCAAGAAAGGGTAAGTAATTTGCCCAAGTTAGGTAGAAAGGGGCAGGAGCCAGTGTCATCAATAGTAGCAGTCATTTTTATTACACCCATTTTCATTTAAGCATTTGCTTTAAAATTATTTTAAAATATATCATTTTTCTACAGTCACTGAAAGAAAAAGAACTAGTAAATGAAAAGTCTAAATTGGCAGAGATAGAAGAAATTAAATGTAGACAAGAAAAAGAAATCACTAAACTAAATGAAGAACTCAAGTCCCACAAACAAGAAAGCATAAAGGTATGTTAAGATAATCATTTTTCCTGCCTTCTGTGTTATATTGTTCTTTAAAGAAATATATATACAAATACATATTTATTTATTTATTGAGAACTTGCTGTGTGCTAGGCAAATTGTTCTGTTGTTTCTGACAAATACTCTTGCCAGAGTGCTTTTGTATTGCATAATACCTGTACACATATTGAAATTGTTACATTTGTTTTCACATTACCACATGAAGCAAAGTAACCCTAAGAGTTTCGATCTCAATGAAATGATAATCAAGAGATGTATTGATTTAGAAAATTATGCTCACGGGTAGTAAATTTCAAAATATGAAAGAGTTTAGAAGTAAGATTTAAAGGGATTGTTTATTCAATTATTTTTCTTCCTAAAGTCCTTTCATAATCTGTTATTTTTAACATTTTACCTGTTATAAGCATAAACAGGGTACCCATTGAAGAAAACTAATTGTTTATTATTTGCTTTGTAAAATACTAATTTCTTAAAAAAGGTTAGATTCTTGAGAGCACTCATAATGCCCTTTGTGTCTGTCAGCATAGTTATCATTTTGGTTTTTAATTAATTATCCCTTTATGTTCCTCTGTCCTCTAGAATGCAATTTCCTTAAATCAGGGAATGTGTATAATTCATCTTTATATTATGTCCCCAGAACCTAACTCAATGTGTGATAACTAAATGATGATCAGTAAACGTTAAGTGAGGAAAGGCAAAATAGAGAGTACAGTTTGTTTTCTTTCTCCACATAATCAAAACGTATACATTTTTTGTCACCTGGATTTAAATGATTGTTGAGCAGGACATATAATCTTGCACCTTTTTAACCAATTGTTTAAAATACTGAACTTTTAAGAATTTCATAAGTGGGTAAAACCTATATTCAATCTATTGTAATAAATTGCATAAATTTTAGCTACATTTTGAAATATTTACTATAAAGGATGATTTATTTTTGGCCCTACTTTTTCAACAGGAGATAACAGATCTTAAGGATGCTAAACAGCTTCTAATTCAGCAGAAATTAGAACTTCAAGGAAAAGCAGACTCCCTGAAGGCAGCTGTTGAGCAGGAGAAGAGAAATCAGCAGATACTAAAAGACCAGGTGAAAAAGGAAGAAGAGGAACTGAAGAAAGAATTTATTGAGAAAGAAGCTAAGTTGGTCAGTGAGTTAATCAGGGGAAGTATGTTTTGCAGTAGAGCTTTAAATCAATCCAGTGAGAGGACTATTCTACTTATGAGATCTGATTAAAATGCTTTCCTAACATTTTAGTTTTTGATTAAGAAAGGAGATCTTATTTGTTTAAATAGCTGACATGTGGTTGGAAATATTTTACCCTGTAACCATATTTCTGTTTATATAAGTGAACACTGAAATGAAATAAAATTTTAAAAACTTTTTTTTTTTTTTTTAGTGTCAGAAACCAAATAACCGCACAACTATGTAGATCTGGTAAATGGTGTGAATGCTAGTCATGTGAAACCCATTTGTTGGGTCAAAGCGAATGTTGATAAGGGGGAGCGGAAACTTGAGTTTGAAATTATGATGAACAAAGTCTGCTTTTCCTTTCCTAAGTTGCACATGCCAGATGGGAAGCATCTGGCTTTCCTCTGTTGAATTAAGTCCAAATATGCCCAGATAACTTGGCCATTGAATGTTTTAGTTGAAGAGTTTCAATTTTAACTTCAAACAGTCATTTGAAGGTTTCATAATGGTTTTTGGCAGACTGATAGAGAAAAGAAAGCATATGGAATTGGGAGGAATAAGGAAATTTCAGCTTTGTCTCTAGGGCACCTTGCTATCCCTAACCATATGTGTCTTTCCTGCTCTGGTGGAGAAAAAGATCTCATATTGTGTCACTTTAGCTCACCATCATGATGGTCACTATCCATCATTTCAGCATTTTGACCTTTGAGCCAATTCGTATTACATAGATGCTTGTGGAATCAGTTTTATTAATGTGTAATGAAATATGTTCTCCTGCCTCCATTCCCAAAGAAGCAATAGTATTTATATTGCCAATATTTTAAATTTAATAAATCACATTTATTTTGCACTACTTTTGTAATAGATTTTCCCCCCACTTTTCCTTTTTATCAGCATTCTGAAATAAAAGAAAAGGAAGTAGGAATGAAGAAGCATGAAGAAAATGAGGCTAAACTTACCATGCAGATTACAGCATTAAATGAAAACTTAGGCACTGTGAAGAAGGAGTGGCAATCTAGTCAACGGAGAGTTAGTGAGCTCGAGAAACAAACGGATGACTTACGGGGTGAAATTGCAGTATTAGAAGCAACGGTTCAGAATAATCAAGATGAAAGGAGAGCACTACTGGAAAGGTGATTGATACCTAGTAAAATTAAGTTTATTTCCATTGTAAGTGATAAAAAGATTGTCATATTCCATAGTTTTTAAAAATAGAAGAATCTTGAGAAAAGTGCATAAGCCTCTATAGGTATTTAAGTTATAAATATTAATTTAAAAATTAATCTGTAAAACAATCAGATAGTCAAAATTAATGTATTATATATTTTAAATTACTAAAGTAGTCCATTATCTATACCCTAGAAGGGTCTTTAATGGTTTTCTAAAAAATTACCTCTTTGCAATCTATTCCAGATGTCTTAAAGGAGAAGGTGAAATAGAAAAGCTTCAAACCAAAGTATTAGAATTGCAAAGAAAGTTGGATAATACAACTGCAGCAGTGCAGGAGCTGGGCAGAGAAAACCAATCACTTCAGGTCAGTCAACTATTGATATGAGGCAGTTTTTTAGTCTAGAATTGACTTATTAGTGAAAAGCATATTTTTAACTTTAAAAAAAATCTCATGTTTTATAAATACTTTCAAATAGCTACTGTCTGTTTAGCAGTATTGTAGGTTTTATGGATACTTAAATATAAAAGTAAAGAACTTGTTTCAGAGACCTCAGAGATTCATTAGGAAGCCATGTCATTCATGAATTGTTAGTATACGGAAAGAACTACAAAATTCAAGAATACCAAAGAATATATGAGTCAGTATGTTTTAAAGAAGTGATCTGAGTATATGCTCAGTGTTACCAGGAAAGATTCATGATTATGTTTAGAATGAATTGGAAATCAGCAAAAGTTAGCAAGATGTTTCAGGAATAAAATTCCATGAATTTTATTTGGTCTTTCAGATTTATGAATATAGCTACTTTTGACAATAGAAGCTGACCAGTGTATTTCTGATTTTTAAAAATTTTATTTCATGGGTCATATTGTTAAAATTTCATAGAACTCTGGCAGCAAGTTAGAAATAATCTAGCATTCTTTAAAATGTTGAGTAGTATAATAAATATATCGATACTTTTTTGAAAAACAGATCAAACATACACAAGCGTTGAATAGAAAGTGGGCCGAAGACAATGAAGTACAAAACTGTATGGCCTGTGGGAAAGGCTTTTCAGTAACAGTGAGACGGGTAAATACTTTTGTTCATATAACTGTTTCTGGATTTCATTTCTCACTGATAATGTTTTAACCATCAAAATAGTCCTTCATTTGATCGAATAATTTTCTGTTTATCAGTAAACTTTAACAACAACATAGAATAACTAAACTTCATGCAGTCTAGCTTCTGGTTAGTATATGTGTTTGAATTTTACTTTTAAATTCAGTCTTCCAACTTAGTTGCTGTCTGGGACAATCATTTTCTGAACCAGTGCGCCATGTTTTAGTAATCATTGAGTTCTTTAAAGGAAGAAAAAGCAGAGATATTTTTAAAATATATTCTAAATACTACCATTGTGTTATGACTTCAGTTTATATTTCTATTGGAGACATTAGTGCCTGAAACATTTGGGAATTAGGAATAGTTTTTCATTGGATAGAGATACTTTATAAACACTTTTTAAATGCCTCCTCTGGTTCTTTTGAGAGTTCCGTGATAAATTCTATATAAAATGTTTAGCATAGTGTTTGATAAATAGGAAACATTCAATTTAATTATAACAAAGAGATTAAGTTAACATATTGAAACATTATATCATTAAATATTTCTAATGCTAATGTACCTTCACAATGTAGTTGGTGGTATTCATGTAGTTTCATAATACTTTTGGTATAGTTTTTATTCTTAAAATTGTTTAAATTTTGTCATTTACAGCATCACTGCCGACAGTGTGGAAATATCTTCTGTGCTGAATGTTCAGCCAAAAATGCCTTAACTCCTTCCTCCAAGAAGCCTGTTCGTGTGTGTGATGCATGTTTCAATGACTTGCAAGGATAATGGGTTATCGGTTATCACAACTTCAGAGTAATATTACACTAACATTAGATTTTTAATAAATGTACTTAATAGAGGTCTTGGACTACTATTTGGTTTGGACATTGGTTGCAATACTAGACCAAATAGGAATTAGTATATTTTGGAATGTTATGGATATCAAGTAAAACTCTTCTATTTTTGTGAGACTTGGCCTTATCATCTTTCATTACTTTTTTCCCATTTAGCCCCTGGAATAGCTTTCATGCCAAGTTTAGAATTAGCCAATGAAATGTAAATAAACTTTGGACAGAAAATAGCAATGTATTTTTTTAATATAATTTCATTATTCACAAATGAAGAATGCAATTCCATAGCTTACTTCTTTCTCCTAAATTTAATGTACAAAAATGTACATGGATGATATTATCACTTGTTGCTGTTTTTGTTGCACAATAGCACATTAATTATATTAAATATTCTCTTTGTGAAGTTATGCACAGAACTGTAACATTTCCTCTACCTTTTTCTCTTATATGTAGGTTCATAGCTCAGTTGCATTGTTATGTTATGAATTTACTACTTGGGTGTTCTCAATACAGTTTATCTTAAAATATGTAGTAACCATGAATTCAAAAATGGTTTTTGTTTTAACAATATTAATTAAATTTTCTTGGGTGGATTTTATAAAAACCTGTGTAAAATCAATTTGCTTACTTATGGTTATCTGGGGTTGTATTTCAAAGAATAGGGTTAATTTTTCTTTTTGTCTTTTTCTGTCTCTTTCTTAAACTCCCACATATTGTCCATTTAGAATCTTAGAAAGCTTCTTACCCTAGCCCTCAGTTGGAGGATGAATAATAAACATTATATAATGTTCTTATTCTCAGTTTCTTGTAAGTGGGAAGTCTTTTGAGATCAGCCTGCATATCATACCCTTATTTTGTCTCTCTAGCATCTTCAGGAACCTGAGTTTGCTTTTTACATAGATCTGATTTCTTCCTTTATTTGGTTTAACCTTTTCAAGCATAGGTCAGCTTCATGTATTTGTTTTATAATTTTGCATCTTAAAGCTAGTAACTAATATTGCTGTGGTCTTATTGGTGAAAACAAAATATAAAATGGTAAGAAGACATTAAATATTTTACTTTCTATTCTTATTCCCTATTGGGAAGAATTTTTAAAAGTTGTAAAATTGACTTAAAATGGTTCTGAATTTGGTGTTCCATATCAACTGTTCCCAGTTTTACTGTTGTGAAATTCCCTTTAAGTAACTAACACCTAGAAATAGAGTGTCACCAAAAACAAATATATTTAGGAATCCCAGAGTTACAATAAAAACTAAAACAACATGGCTAAGCACCATAAGGATAATTAAGAATTAGCTTATTTGTATTCTGAACAGTGGTATCGAACTTTAATTTAGCATAGTCTTATTAATTTGGAAAATTGTAAAACATCTCAAGAGAGAAGTTATTAATATTGGTTTATTAATCTTTCTAGAGAAGAAATGTAGTTATACATTCATTCAGTGCAATCATTTTATAACAGTAGTTAATATTTCATTTATACTAGTTTATAGTATACATTTGCTTTCAAATATTCTGAAATGAAATTATATTTATGCTATACCTACAATGTATGTAAACTGAAAGAGATCACTACGTATTTGTTTAATTATTTAAAAAAATTTTTAAGTAAACCCTGTTGTCATTAGCTATTAAGAACATCGATTAAGTTCCTGGACTTGGATAAACATATATCCTTGAGCATATATAATGAAGAAATACCGTGGCTCTTTATTAAAAATAATAGTTGGATAATATAAACTGAACTATTTATGTAGTTTTATATACTTATAAATCCTTCCAAATAGTTTTAATTCTATAATTTTACATATAAATAACTTAATAAGTGTGCTGGAAAAACACAGATGTTCACAGCACCACTTTTTTTTTTTTTTTGAGATAATAAAATTCCATGAGAAATCTGGGTTTGAATATTTGTTCACTTTGTCTCCTAATTGGACACCCTCCAGGCCTTCTGTCTGTCTCCCCTTTACCCCCAACATATTCACAAAAAAATTGTAAGACAAGTAACCATATATAGGTGTTTGAATGATTTTCTCATTTTTATCTAACTAATTTCATTTCATAAGTCCCAAGTAATTTACCTACCATAGACTACTATACTGATAATATAAATGAAACCCAACATTTTTTGCTATGAACTCTCCCCAGTTTAATGTGTTTTGAAAACAAAAATTTTAATTTTTTTCCTTTTAATTAAAAAGTCATCTTTGAAGTCCTTATTGGCTGTACATTTTACATGTTTGCTGGTACTATTATTTTGTCAGTGAGTTAGAGCTGGCATGTACTGCTCTTGGCTTTAATGAAAAGCACATTGGCATAATGTTAGTAAATTCCAAACCCCGGCACAGAATGTGAGTTAAAATTAAGTCTTGCTGGGTTAGTGTACAATAAACTATACCTACAGACTTTTTTTTAATAGAAGACAAAGCTGCTGGTATATGATTTGTTCCTTTGAAGAAAAAATGAGGGAAACAAACACAAAAACCTCAATGCAGTGTATAAATAACATTTTGTTCAACTACCTCTTAATGTGGAATTATCTACTTTAATAGTTTCCTGACAGTAATGTTAAATAGTAACTGCCAAATTTGTTATTTTCCCATCTCTCTTAAAAAGTCTTTATGATTATTTTATATAGTTTTGAGAACTTTAAAGCCACTTTTTTTTAACCTTACATTTGCATAAAAATGTTTAGCTTTTAAGTAGAGAGCAAATTATGATTTTATATTTTGATATTCATGACCTGTTTGACTATAGGAGTTTTTTTTTAAAAAAATGCACTTTGGCTGTAAAACCATGGATGATTTGATCCATAAAATTTAAATGTGCCACCATTATAGTATTCCTAGACATGAGCTTGATGAATGGTATTCTGTAATTATCATGTGCCACACATTATCATGTCTTAATTGCCCTTAGCCCAAATTTTAATGATCAATTTGTTATTGTTGCAGATGTGAATATTGTGCATAAACTTACTAAATTGATGTAAAATTGTATAAAATAGAATTAGAAGTCACTAAGTTCTTTCTGTGTAGAAGTAATAAATTTATTGTAACACAATGCAGTTGTGTATATGACATTCTGTAATTCCTTGAACTGGATCATATATTCATAACTTCTGTAGATACTTTTGCATGAACATTTTCTTATTTAGTTTTTGGGTTCATTATTTGTACTGTGTTTACTACTTGTGATCATGTAGTTGTGCCTTATTTTGTGAGAAAGGTTAGCTCAGTAAATACTGCAATTTCTAAACTCAGTGATTGGGAGGTTATTAATTATAAATGTAACTGATAAAGTACACGACAGCATTTAAATCTGTATAAAGAACAATGGAAGGATCCTTATTGAATTGTTGCTTTTGGTTTTTTTTAATATGTTTAAATATTATATTAAAAAACATTTCTTTCTAAACTAGTTGTATTCTGTGACTATAAATTGTTTTGTCTAACAAAAGAGAGAACACTATATTAACCATTTTGCATTAATTTATTTACAGAATATTAGGACTTTGCACTTGGATATAGACAGTGGTGTTTTAATGTTGTTCAATTTAGAATAGTAATTAAATTCCTGATCTCGAGAAATTAATGCCATTTTGTTTTAGACATTCCATTTAATATTGTAGAGAATTAACAAAACTAAAAACAAAAATAAAAAATATGTAATTAATCCCTTATTTCATAAAGATACTTAAAAATTTTATTTATTTATTTTTTTCTCCTTCCTGTCCCCAAAGATACTTTTTGGAAGGCCCAATGTGCCATTGTTTTTCTTCCTGGGTGCCACGGTTCTAGAATGGTTTTTGTTCTGACCCCCACGATCCCTTCATTTGAATGTGCTTCATTCTAAACCCTCTGAAGAGTTTAATGTGCATATCCTCAAGCATCTAATATATTGTATATTAGACATGTATTTTGTGAGCTTTATAGAATTCCAGTTTATGTGCAGTGTATTCTTGAGCTGTTTTACATATTTTGTTGATTTAGTCAGTCTGTCTCTCCGTTTAATGAGATTCAGAGGGAGACAACTACCTTTATACATGTAAGTCAGCCTGTGGTTGCTGGATTCATGGGACTACAGGAGTTTGAGAAGTCACCTCGTCTTAGTCCACTGCTCACCTCTGAGGTTGGTTTATATCTAAAAAATTTGCAAGACGATTGTTAATTTAAAAATTTTTTTCAGCCAGAAATTTCTTTATAAAATCCTCTCTTGCATAATCTATATTGTTTTCTCCTGGACATAACTGCTTTTAGTTCCATCCAGATGCCATCTCTAGAAATTCACTTGAAGTCTATTCTCCCCTTTGCCTTCCCCCCACCTCATTTATTCTTAGCTATTAACAATAGTTACTGTCCTCTAGATTGTCCTTTTATTTTTTTCTTCTATTAAATGTCTGACATTATTATAAAGAGATTATTAGTCTCCATTCTAATAGTGCTTGCCTTGTACAAAAGCCTTTCTGCTGCACTTGTCTTTACTGCTTTGTTTGCATGGTGAAATTTCACCTTCCTCAAGGAATTACTGTGCACATGACTTGCCCAAATATTATCCTCTCTATCCCATTCTTTAGCTTAACAAAATCAGCTAAGGCTTCAGTTGCCTTGCAACCAAATTTGATAAATTTACTACTTTCACTTTGCAAATTGCAAAAGGTACGAGCCTGAAGTGGAAGTTTGTGGACTTCCATTTGATGCAATAATCTGACCCTAAGAACTAGTTCCTTGAATGTAGTTAATAGTATATGTCCTGTCATAATATAATAATTATTCCAGCTGCCTTTCATGATAAAAATTCTGAAGAAATTTGAAGTCCTGCCAAATAAAATTAAGTGACTGTACTGTGCTAACACACACACACACACCAATCAAAACCAGAAAGTATTTTTATGGCAAACACCATCATTCTTCAAAAAATAAAGAGACAGATACCTTACTATGTCTATGAAAATCTACACAACAGGCCAAGAAAAGCCATGCAAAAGGGTTAACTGGTGAAAGCCAGATTTTTTTCCCTCCGCTATCTTAAAGTAATGGAATTTAGTCTTTGGGGTTTTCTACTTCCACGTTAGAGTACTGTAAAGTATACCTGAGAGGAGTTTGAGAATAGGAATTTTAAAACTGCTATTAAAATGTACTTATTTATCGCTTTGTATATTAAAAGAACAATCAAGCTTTGTATCTAAAGAACTATCATTGTGTTTGAGGCAGGACTATAAAGCAGTTAAGACTGACAAGCCATGAAGGAAAATTGGTTTCATTATTTTATAGATACACACAAAGTAAGATGCTGGAGTTCATATTGGACACAAGCAGTGAACATTGTTTTCCTTCTGATACTCCATTTATCTGATCATTCACCCTTTACAAATTAGCACCTTTCTTCACTCACACCTCTTACAAGCTTGACGAAAGCATTAGAAGGTAATCTGGATGTCGGTATGTATCTGTCAAGAAATTCCTCAGAGTTCAAACTTGTTGCAGTCATTACTCCTCTATACTGAGGATTTTCCTAGCTCAAATTTTCAAATTCTGGAACTTCTTTAAAATGCAAATTTCCTTCTAGCTTATCACTAGCTAAGTGTTACAAAAGTTTGAATGAAATAATAACTTAAACCCTAATCTTCTAAAAAGGCATGCTACTTATTTTAGGTCCCTAAATTTCAGAGGATTCAGCGGGCAATGTGAATAAAGGTATTTTCTTGGTTTCCTGACTCTTGGTAAAGCAAGAAATTGCAGTTGTTATTTGTGCCATCCATGTTTTCTGTTGAAAAAAGAAAAAAATACATAAATAGAGATTAGAATGTTAAGCTGACAATTTCTCACATATTTGGGCTAATATTTTCTGCTATATTTATTGACCAGCTCTTTAAAACTGAAGACTAATGAAACATTTGCATATTTTCTTTCTTACATCTAATATAAATACTTCTAATCATACAGGAAAATGCAGATGGGCTAAATGAGTATGGTATGCACATTGGATAACAGTTATGAGTAATCAAACAATAGTCAATGATAACTCATTAGAAAAATGAGTACTGAGAATACATGTAGTTTGAACATGGCATTGCTGGAATATCCATTCTCTGTGGAAACAAGTTCTGAACCTGTAGTATAATTTGAAAGAGACAGAGGGCAGTGACCCAGGAAATTGAATATTGCATTTATTGTCTGGCCACATTGTGGCTATGATGAAAGCCTACCAGGGGAAATTCAAAAATAGAAACTTCTAAGATAGAGAAACCAGAGTCAGGCAACTGCTCTTTCAACTCCATAGCTGTAAAAACAATGGCAGTTTTTCAAAGGTTGACAAGCTGACTTGACACAGATGGTTATTGCACCAGGCCCTCCTTAAGCTAATATCCTATTATATGCACTTAGGAAATTGATTGGAGCGTCTTGAAAGTTCATCATGCAATCCAAATCAATTCTTCCCCCATTTCCTACAGAAACTGCAGAACTCAGGCAGCTCTTGAGCTTCTCCAGGAGGAGAACTCTGCAAGCGTGAGGAAATTGTTCCTCAACCCTGCAAGTGTGAGGAAATTGTAAATACTGAGGCTTTTGAGCATTATATGGACTAGATGTATCCCTCCCGTCCTCCCAAATCTGCCCTTCCCAAGTGGTTGAGAGAAATATACAAAACTTTCCATTCACTGTTACTTAAGAGGCTGGGGGTGAGCTTATGTAAACTCTGAAGAATCAAAGACCCACAACATTAAAATACATACTTTGATGTTTTCCGTTTGGGCTTGTAATAAGAATGCTGCTATACACTGTCGATATCTGTTTTCGTGTTGTATAAGAAAAGCATTTCTCAGCCCAAAGACTAGAAAAAGATATTACAAAGACAAAAAGCCAAATCATTTCATATGAAATCCAAACAATTTCTTAGTACAAGAACCTGGGGTTTGTTTTCTATTTGGCTTATTTTTGTTTTAATGAGGGTGGGAGGTTTATGTAGGTTATAAATTTTCTTTAATTTTGTTTCAATGCCAAGACTCCACTACTATGTCCAAATAAAGCCCACTCTACTATAAAAACCCTTTCTTCTTTAGCTCATGACTTCTGATACTTGATGAAATGCAACTATGGCTTAAGTAATGGGAAATGGGCCCCTCCTCATAGAACAAGCTAAGCATATGAGGTAGATTTTTGTGTGTGTGAAAATATAAATAAAAATATACAAAACAATATAATATTTTCTTTTTTCTTCCTCACCACTCCTTTAAAGATTTTTATTTTTGTGTTTAAAGGGAAGTCACATCCAACCACGGTTTATAAACAAATTAAGACGTGGCAAAAATACAAAACCACCTGAATACTTCAGGCCAAGAAAAGCCAAAAACCACTCAAATAAAATCCAGCATCCACCAAACTGGGTGAAATGTAAAACAAAACAAAAAGAGACGTTGGCATGGTTTCTGTGTTTGCAAAAGAGAGCCTGTTCTGTCATTTTCTAGCTGGTCTCAAAGAAAAGGAGATAGTGGGAGAGCAGATTTCTTTTTTTAATATAGCAGGAGCTCTTTTAAAATGAAAGTCTCTTCTTTGAATTATTAATACAACACAGTTCTGAAGCTTATACATTCTTTTTTTCTTTTCTTTTTTTCTTGAGACAAAGTCTTGCATTGTCGCCGGGGCTGGAGTGCACTGGCGGGGTCTCGGCTCACTGCAACCTCCGCCTCCCAGGTTCACGCGGTTCTCCTGCCTCAGCCTCCTGAGTAGCTGGGATTACAGTTGCCCGCCACCACGCCTGGCTAATTTTTTTATGTTTTTAGTAGAGACGAGGTTTCACTATATTGGCCAGGCTGGTCTCGAACTCCTAACCTCGTGAACTGCCCACCTCGTCGTCCCAAAGTGCTGGGATTACAGGCATGAGCCACTGGCGCCCAGCCCTGTACATTCTTTCTATAGTCAGTGTTTAGAAACAAACAAACAAACAAAAACAGGCCAGGGCTGTCTCCTGCCCATATCAAGTACTTCAGAGAAGAGAAAAAATGAGCAAGTGACATATTCTTGCTGATCATTAAGCTGATGCTTGTCTGCTGTCACTATTTGTATTTGTTGGAGTTAGTTTAACTCAGGCTTATCTGAGGAGGGTTGAGCTTCTTTCAGAATCCAAGTGAATAAAATACTTATTTTCTTTCTTTCTTTCTTTTTCTTTTTCTTTTTTTTTTTTGGTGGGGGGGGATAGAGTCTTGCTCTATCACCCAGGCTGGAGTGCAGTGGCGCGATCTCAGCTCACTGCAAGCTCCGCCTCCCGGGTTCAAGAAATTCTCCTGCCTCAGCCTCCAAGTAGCTGGGATTACAGGCACCCACTACCATGCCCAGCTAATTTTGTGTATTTTTAGCAGAGACGGGGTTTCGCCATGTTGGACAGATTGGTCTTGAACTCCTGACCTCAGGTGATTCACCTGCCTCGGCCTCCCAAAGTGCTGAGATTACAGGTGTGAACCACCATGCCCGGTCAATACTTATTTACTTAACTGCAAGAACTACCCCAGTATCACAGATTATACTCATAACAATCTAAACATCCTAATTCCTAAATTCTACTACAACAAATAAAGTCTGTTAAAATTCTGCTACAACAAATAAAGTCTGTTAAGGAGAGGCCATAAAATTCTGTCCAGCTTCTCTTCAGTGAGAGGACTTAAACCTATTAAAATGACTTTCTGGGGAAAAAAAAAAAAAAAAAAAAGCTGGCTGTGTTTGTTTTACTCTATAATTCTTTGCCTTATAAATTCCCTGTAGCAAGGTGAGGCTTTAAAGACCAGGTTGTTATTCTTGGCTGGTTTTTGGAATTCATTTACCTCAAAAACTGTAACTGTACTTCTAAGTTACTCCAGGCATCCTTGCTCCATTTGGTTTGTAGTATAGGTACAAGGGACTTTATAAATGAAAGGACCTGCTAAGCTAGGCCTGTGAAATACAATTTGGAGAGAGTATCATATATAGGCAGGAATAGCTCTTTTTTCACTGACATTCTAATACAATAATTGACACCATTTTAAAAGCATTTTCTATGTACTGGGCACCATACTATGTTTTTTCTCTACATAGCAACCCTATGAGATAGGTCAGCTAATTCCGACTTGTAAATAGGAAACAAATTAATCTTTCCAAGGTCACAGAGCTTATAAATGATATAGCCAGGATTTGGAATTAGGTCTTTCACTCCAGAGCTCAACCTCTCTCTTGTCCTCATTTACTTTTTCCTACTCTATAGCTACTCTGCCTCATGTACTGTATCTAATTAGTCAAGTTAATAGGCCCAAAGAATGAGAAAAATATTTTTAAAAGGAACAAGAGACGGTAATTAAAATCAGAAAATAAAACGGTGGAAGCAAAGTTGTTTTTGGTTTTGCTTTTTGAGACAGTCTCACTCCATCACCCAGGCTAGAGTGCAGTCGTGTGACCTTGGCTCACTGCAACCTCTGCCTTCTGGGTTTAAGTGATTCTCATGCCTTTGTCTCCCAAGTAGCTGGAATTACAGGTGTGTGCCAGCATGCCGGGCTAATTTTTTTGTATTTTTTCACCATGTTGGCCAGGCTGGTCTTGAACTCCTGACCTCAAGTGATCGGCCTGCCTCGGCCTACCAAAGTACTGGGATTACAGGTGTGAGCCACTGCGCCTGTTCCCAGAAGCATAATGTTTTTAAAAAGATTTTTTAATTAAAAAAAAAAAAAAGAAATAGAGGAGAAAAAACATGCATCTTTCAAGGTAATCCAGTGATGTCAGATTTCCCATAAAGTTCAAGTCTTCAAGTTGGCAGGTTGTGACTACACTGAACCCTCAGCCAAGCTGCTTCCTCTTCCTCATGGGTGTTCTGGCACTTTCCTTTACTCAAGTCTATGTGTCAGGCCACAATCTCTAACTATAAACATAGCCAATCTATAGTAATCTATAACTATAGCCACTGTAGCAGGAGAAGAAATTCCTAGCATAGGACGCCCTCTACTATATTTTTCCCCATGAAAAAGTAAACTAAACAAATTACAGAACAGAAGTGATTTCTAGCCGCCACATACTGAAGTTTTGTTTTATCTACATTCCTCTGCCATCCCTTGGGCAGGTAAGAGGCTCACACTGAAAGTGAGCACACTCACCAAGCAAAGGTTTTGCAACCTTGACATACCCCTTTTGTGGCTTGCTCCTGAACCACTGTCTGGCTTGGCAGATTTTGGCCTACATAGATTTTGGTCCCAGTCAAGTCAAATACAAGAGGCTTTAAGGTCTGCCCTGTTACCTTTCATCAAATCTTACTGAAAATAGAAAGAATGGATACAGGAGGCAGAAGCTATCTTTCTGGATACAGGCTTCCCTTCTGCTCTTGGAGAGAGATTATATTAATTCATGGGTTAATATGTAAGGCATTAAAATTTTTACAATTTATTTATTTTTATTTTTAGAGACAGGGTCTCATTCTGTCACCCAGGCTGGAGTGCAGTAGCAATCACAGCTCACTGCAACCTTGAACTCCTGCGCTCAAGCCATCCTCCAGCCTTAGCCTCCTGAGTAGCTGGGAATACATGTGTGTGCTGCTGTACTTCACTATTTTTTTTTTTTTTTTTTTGAGATGGAGTTTCACTCTTGTTGCCTAGGCTGAAGTGCAATGGCTTGATCTTGGCTCACCACAACCTCTGCCTCCTGGGTTGAAGTGATTCTCTTGCCTCAGCCTCCCGAGTAGCTGGGATCACAGGTGTGCACCACCACACCTGGCTAATTTTGTACTTTTAGTAGACACAGGGTTTCTCCATGTTGGTCAGGCTGGTCTCAAATGCCCAACCTCAGGTGATCTGCCCAATTTGGCCTCCCAAGGTGCTGGGATTACAGGCGTGAGCCACCACACCCAGCCTATTTTTTTCTTTTTTTTAATAAGAGACTGGGTCTCACTATGTTGCACAGGCTGGTCTCGAACTCCTGGCCTCAAGCAATCCTACCGTCTTGGCCTCCCAAAGTACTGGGATTATAGGTATGAGCCACTGCGCCCGGCTGGAATTTAAATATATAACTTAGTTATGTAGCATAACTATGTAAGTATTTGCTACTGTTGTTTGTATATTCATTCATTCACTCTTTAAGGTTTCTCTATTATGTATGAGTCAGTCCTGTGCTCATCACTGAAGCTCTGGGCTTGGCTGCTGGAGTGGGAATTGAGGGGGATGGTGAGCGCTTTCTCTTTTCCAGCCCCTCCCATGGGGACAGGAAGTCAGTCCCCACCTACCTGGCCTCAGCTGGTCTAGGAGCCTCTAGCCAAGGCAGAGTGGTGTCTGCTTCCTCCTGAACACTGCCGCCCACTCAAGCCCTGAGTAGACTGAAATGTCCTTGAGTAACTCAGAGTCCCAGGGCTTTTCTGACAGAGGATTTACTGATCTTTCATTATTCTAAGAGCTCCCCAAGGCCAACGGCTGTTCCTTATTCATCTTTGTATCTGCAGGGCCTGCTGAGTTCTTGGCTCTCAGGAGATACTCAAGAAATACTTGAATAAAAGATTAAAAATGATATATATTTCTGATGCATGTGTCATGTAGATACATGCATATGTATATGTGTGTGTATATATATGAATATATATATATCTGGCATAATTATTTTAATAGAGTATAATAAAATATCTTACTCTTGCAATCTGGTAATGGTTTCTCAGTGTTTTAGTAATAGCAATAGTATTAATGATGATACTGTAGGTAACAATATTAGTAGCAACTATCATTTATTGAATGCATCACATTTGTTATTTAATTTTCATAGAAACTCACTGAAATAGATATTATTATCCCTATTTTGCCAAGGCTTAGAAAACTGAAGTGCCTTGTCTAAGGTCATAAAACTAGCAAGTAACAGAGCTATCACTCAAGCACTGGACACCGTAACTAATTCATAGAGTGAAAGATATATAGACACATAGGAGCACAGTCTTGTTTTTATGAAGACTTAAATTGGATTTATGTCCTGCTACCAAGAAAGGCCAACATAAAACTCTGTGATGGCAAACAGATGAGCTGAATAATGGAAACAGACACATACCTGACACATGGAGTGGTTCAATACTTTTGACTACCAACCTATCTAGTGGAATAGGCTGATCGAGTACTGTACACGAACCACCCTCTTTTATTACTGCTTGCAACTCAGGAGTAAGAGAAGGACACATTAAACCAGGGTCTGAGCCTCCAAGTTTCTGAAATTAACAAGAAAAAGAATGCAATAAACAGGAAATAAATATTGGCACACTTACCTAAAGTGCATCTGTAAGCAAATAGATTCTGAGAAACAATTGCCTAAAATCTATTATTGCCTAAAATTTTACTACTCTTTCTGAATCTTGAAAAGCATCTCCCCAAAGCATAGTGATTTATAGCAAAGTGTTTATTTTATTATTGTTATTACAATTTTTTTTTCTCGAAACAAGGTCTCACTCTGTCACCCAGACTGGAGTGCAGTGGTGCGATCTCAGCTCACTGCACTCTCAACCTCCTACATTCAAGTGATCCTCTCATCTCAGCCTCTCAAGTAGCTGGGACTACAGGCATACACCACCATGCATGCCCTGCTAATTTTATTTTTCATTTTTTTGTAGAGATGGGATCTCACTATGTTGCCCAGGCTGGTCTTGAATCCCTGGGCTGAAGTGATCCTCCCAACTGTATGTCTGGGATCTAATACTGAATTCTAAATAGATTCTATGCTCTAGAATTTATAAATAATTTAAATTGTTTTGAGCACATAAGATGATGATTTTTTTCAAAAGGGGGTAAAAATTAAAAATTGTGACCTGCATGGTATAAATTGTACATAAAATAGACCTGCATGGTATAAATTGTACATAAAATAGCAAAGAGGCATGTAAACTGATACCTTTCCTTACTTTAGGAATCAACTTGTGATGCATAAAACCAGAATATCAGTTTATTATATGTCTGACATGGGCTGCCATTAATTCATATACTCTGATTTGTACCATTAATTGATGTGAAGGTCAGCTCTGCAAGCATCAAGGTTTTTTGAAGGGGGTAGAGATTTTTCAGAACTTGGCTTGTTCAGACATGCTAGTCTGAGTAACTTATAATGGGAGGTCATACAAATTCCGAAACTGTGACTCTTAATATTCTTGTACACCTATTCCCTCCCCAACCACCGATTAGCTATTCATAGATTGATTAATGGGTATCATTTTATTGCTTAAAGATTTAGCTCAACTAACCAACATGGCATGTAGAAGCTTAGTTTATTAAAAGATATGAGATAGCTAGTCTCATGATCTTATCTATGCAAGGTTAGTCACTTGGTAAAGAAATGAATGGAATAAAGCAACGTTAGATATCTCCGACTATTGAAGACACTGCATTTCTCTTCCCACCTCTGCGAGTGGATGTCTGGGAGCCTTAGAGAAACTTCCCTACCTGATACCACTCAAACACACCATTCAGGAAACAGATTGTGAAATAGTAAATTAGACAGAAAGCCTTTTGGGGACCAGCAACAGATCAGTGGCTTAATGGGCAGTAAAAATAACACCACCAATAATAGTAACAAATAATACTTAAGTAACGTGAAAAAAATCCCTATTCCCTATAGAGATTTTGCAGCTCTAGCTCTTAGCTGACTCATTTTGTCTGTGATGCCAGTTGCATACACGTTTGGCTTCTACACTTTTTATATAGGTAGACACTGAGAGATCAGGGCTCCCTCTCATCTCCACCCCCAAATCATTATTTCTCAGAAATAATGTGAGCTTTCAAATAAGAATGAGTGTTGAATACCACCTCGACACAAGACAGTAGACAGTTCAGATGGGTCCTACTCTAGCTGTTTTTGTTGTGGTGGCCAATTCAGTAAAGGAACCGGCCAAAATGGACAAAGATATTTTGAATTCCTTTGCTTAGGCAGGTCAGGCAAAGTCCTGTGGCTTCTGGGACTTAGCTTGCAAGTATATAGATTAAGTTGTTCTAAAAATGTATTCCTCTTTTGACATCCTTGAGAAATGCAACTCGCATTTTTTTGTTTATTTATTTATTTATTTATTTAATTCAGAGCTTTATGACTAAAAACGTCAATATTTTATAGTGCCTTCATTTTTTTAGAGGAAAAGATTCAGCCTGATGTAAAAGAAATTTTATATTTTTACCACAATTTATTTAGAAATATTTCTAAACTCATTTAGCAAACTTGTTTAGAAACGTATTTTGAAACAGCAGCGTTTTACCTTTTTGTTGCGCTTAGTTTTCGTAACTAAGAGGAAATCATTGAAGAGAAACAGATAAACATCTAGGAATCTTGTGCTTTCTGAGGAAAAAAAGAGAAGCTGAAATGGGGACTTGAAACTGTTAAGCAGAAGAGTTTTCCTTCCTTCCTTCCTTCCTTCCTTCCTTCCTTCCTTCCTTCCTTCCTTCCTTCTTTCCTTCCTTCCTTCCTTCTTCTCTCTCCTTTCTTTCTTTTTCTCTTTTTTATCAGTGAATTCTTTAGAAAACAAAACCAGGTGGCTATTACAGCACCCCAGGGCCTCCAATCATGTAGGTCACAAAGCTGCCCGCCTCAATGTTGAATTGCTTTATTTATTCCTAAAGCAGAGACTTGATGAGAGGCCAAGCTTCTAACATTAAAGACATTGAATTTATGATGTGTCTCATTTGAATCTAAAATAACTCAGATGATATTTGTAGTGGCTTCAACTAAGCCGAGAGTAAATCCATCAACTGATTGAACTTGCAGCATTTTTGCCCCTTGATTCCTCTGGGTGGTTATTGGCAAAGGCACACATAACCAGAGAAAAGACATTTTCTCACTGCTATGAACTACGCTATTGTGTCCCTCAAATTTCATATGTTGAAGCCCTAAACCCCTAGTGTGGCTGCATTTGGAGTAAGAAAGTAATTAGGGTAAAATGAGTTAATAAAGCTAGAGCACTGATCCAGTAGAATTAATGTTCTGTTGAGACACCAGATACCCCACTGTCCCCCACCCTTCATCTTGAAGAGAGTGCTCATTAGGAGCTGAATTTGCCATCACCTTGACCTGGGACTTTTCAGTCTCCAGACTGTAAGAGATAAATTTCTGCTGTTTAAGCCAGCCTGTCTGTGATATTTTGTTATGGCGGCCTAGGTTGACAGTCATTAAAACTACTTATTTCTCAAGTTTTAGAATGTGTCTATAAATGTTTAGATATTCTCCATGTGTTTCATATTTACAACCTTTTCTGATATTAGCTTTAATAGTTACTTAAGTTTTCCCTAAGAAGGGAATAGCAGTAGAAGAGAAACCAAATATTAGAATAAGGCATCTCCTTCCTTATTTTACTCTATCCCTTAGAAATTAGAAAAAAGGGTTAAATGTAAGTGATTTCAGAGGAAAAGGTTTTTAGAGGGGGTTGTGACAAGTGCTTAGAGTAATTGTAGGAAAACCCAGTAATTTTTTTCAGCTTATTCTATTATACATATTGTTCTAGAAGTTCTTTCTTATATGTTTTTACCCCTGGAAGATTTAAAGCAGTTGATACAACATTTAGGATTCATTTCTATCCCCTCTTATTCTAAGTTTAGAGAAAAGATTTTTTATATATTTGCACAGGGGAGAAATCAGTTATTTTATTCAAATTAAATAGTCCTTGAATAGTTTTTAAAAAATCTTATCAGAAACTTAATTTTTCATAAATCAGATTGTGGCAAAGACTGCTGGATGTCCCTTGAAAACCATTCTCCCCTTCTCTTGTAGCAATGGAATTCCCAACTTTTAGTGAGGACCCATCCACAGAGAATAGAGACTACATTTTCTTGCTGCCGAGTATGACCAAGGAGCTAAATTCTCACCAAGGGAATGTGAGCCAAAGTATGCAACTTCTGAGTCATATTCGTGAAGGGCAGGGCCAAGCTCTCTTGTCCCTGTCTCTCCTTCTCATTGGGTAGAAAGCAAACATATTGGTGAGTCACCTTGGGCCACACAGAAGAAGGCAATACCCTAGATTTGGCTACAAGACAGCAGGAATCTGGATTCCTAATGACTTCATGGAGTGGAGTTGTCATATAGGTTGAGACTTAACAAGAGAGAAATAAGCTATCTTTTTTTAACCTGTCTGTCTCCAGTCACTGAATCTATACGCCAACTGATAAACAGGGCTAGAAATGGTACAACACTAGACCTGTGAACAGCCAGCTCAGCCTGCCATAGCAAAATACCACAGACAGGGTGGCTTAAGCAATAGGAATTTATTTCTCACAGTTCTGGAGCCTGGGAAGTAGGTCAAGGTGCTGGTCGATTCGGTTCCTGATAAGGCCTCTCTTTTTGACTTGCAAATAGCCACCTTCTGGATGTGTTCTTACATGGCAAACAGAGAGAGTGAGCTCTCTGATGTCTGCTCTGATTAGGATACTAATCCTATCAGATCAAGGCTCTAGCCCGAGTCCCTCAGTTTACCTGCATTTCTTCCTTACTCCAAGCATAGTCACACTGGACATTAGGGCTTCAACATGTGATTTGTGGAGGAACACAATTCAGTCCACAGCAACCTTCAAACCTGTAAAATGTGCTATTACCGTCTTCTGCTACTCATGTACGTGTCAGCTCAATGATCATTGTCAAAATGAAACAGTTTTGTTTTCTCCTTCTAATTTCAACTATTTTATTTTGACAAACAGGCAGGGAGCACATCTTCTATGTGTTCCAGATGTTATTCTAGATAATGTTCCATACATTATTCTAGAAAGTGATAATTATTTTAGCTACCATTTATTGAAGCCCTAGTTTTCCACCAAGCAATTTACAAAACAAATTATGAAAATGTGTACCTTCTGGGAATGAGAAAGTATACTTATTTGGTTATAAGAGCACAGTTTTTAAGTCTGGAAGAAATTCGGAAACACTGTATGTGTTAGGTATCATCACATCATTTTCTTCCTCATCGTCATCATCATTATCAGCAGCAGCAATAACATTTATAAAAGAGAATAAGAGCATTTAAATTTTCCCAAAGTCTACAGTTGGTGCTAGATCCCCTAACTTTTGGTTCAATGCTTTTTTCATTTAAAATGATGTACTGTTTCTTCACTTGATCTTAGCCAAAAGACCAAGAAGCGAAATGTCCTGTTTCTTCTAACACTATCACCCTGCCCCATTAAATCTCCATGCTCATCTCTGAGTCCAGTCTCATGACTTTGCACTTGACTTGGTACCATGTAGACTACATCATATGGAGTCTCCATCTCTGATGGAATTTGACTAATACAGCTCATGCCATTAAACAAGTGCCTGGTGTTAGTGACATTACGTAGTTCATCTCCATGCTACCACATTTGACTGTACAAGAAGCATTTTCTGGAAAAGTTGAGTCTGCTTGTAAAGAGCCTTTCTTAGGTGAGCTTCCAATTCACACATCTATGACAGTCACTTTGAACCCATGCGATGCATGAATTCACATCTGACATAGCCTTTCACCCACCAGGAGCTGCTCCTCCAGCTTCCATGTGGGTTCTTATTATGCCCAAACCTGAACCCTAAAATTGACTCCCTGACCCCACTCCCTCTACCACCCACGGCATTATCAACAAAACTTTCAGATACACAGATTAGAACAGTTTTTTATACTCATTTCCTCTTCATCCACTTTATCGATCATAAAGTCCTCCTGGTTTTGCCTTTGCAATATCTCCCGTATCCTTTTCTATCATGCCCATTTCTAATGTTTTAGGAGAAGCTGGTGCATCTCACAGTATTGGGAGGTAGGGAGGAAGAGGGAAGGCGTGAACCAAAGTCTCACATAATTTCAGGTGAGGCTAGTTTTGGAGGTAAAGATACATGCTGGAACACAGATTATGTTTTGTTTTATTACTTTGATTCGTTCTTGTCATAAAATATAATTACTTTGAAGTTGTAAATAACATTAAAGAAAAGTTAAAATTGTTATCTTTTCAAATGAAAGTGAGGGGTGGGTGAACAACAGGTTAAAAATGGTAGAGCAACAGACAGGCCCAGAGTCTTCTCACTTCATACTGTTCACCACTGAACTTCCGGTTTCACCACTGATCTCTCTGCTTTGGTCTCCTCTATGCCATTTTGAAGACTGCTTATTAACAAGGCTTTCTTCAACACCCTTTTAACCGATCACTTCCCTGTCTGAGAGCTCAATGACTTCTGCTTGCCTGCAGTTTCCTGGCTGGGTCCTTCTGTTTGGTTTCCAAGGCAGTTGCTCTGATTCTGGAAGCCAGCTGGACCAACGCAGCCTGGCTCCAGCTGGTACTCTGTCATTCACCCACCAGGTGAACTTGGGCATGATACAGAACCTCCCTGAACCCCAAATCTCTCACCTGTAACAAGGGATTAAAAGCAACTTCTCTATTTAACTTACTGGAAAGAGACAACATATGAAAAAGCCCTTGGATATAAAACACTGGACATGTCTATCTTCCTTGTTTAACAGCTGCCAGGGGGGTTTTATGTCCTAACCTGACATCCAGACTACCTCTAAAATAGAGCAGAGTTTCAATAGACACGTATTAAGGGATTATTTCCCAGCGCCTCCCCACCAGATATCACATCACCACTGTTAGGCAACCTCCCATCCCACAGGACTTCACACTCAGTAGGTACCTGGTCAAGATTTTGTGCAGAAATGAATAAACAAATGATTCTAAATCTTATTTCAGCCAGGCAGCCTTTCTGGTCATCATGATATTTATTGAGCGTGAACTTTGTGTCAATCATTCTTTTGAGTGCTTATACATCTGTTGGTTCATTTAATCCTCACAATAAAGAAAGGTAAACTGAAGCACAGGAGATCACTGTAAATGGCCCAAGGTTGTACAGGCAGAAAAGGCTGAGCAGGGAGTGAGCCAGGCAGTCAGCCCCAGGGGCTTGGCTTCCTATGTACTCTGCTAGAAACTAAGCTTCTGCAGGGACTTCTGTCTCTAAGACTTCTCTGGCTCTGCTCTTTATCTGAATGACCTCCCTCCTGTCCTTCCACTGACCTCATCCTTCCTGCCCCTCCAAGCCCACCTCCAGTCCCATAGACTGCACGAAGCCTCTCAGGGCACTCCAGTCTCAAGGACTCTCTTCTTTTTTGAACTTACCCTGCAGGTCTGGTAATAAGGCAGAGCTTCCCAACTAGAGGGAAAGAATTATACAGAATGCGTTTTTATATCTTCCAATGGCACCTACCTAGCACAACGTGTACTATATTATAGATTCTCCATAAACATTTGAGAGCTTGATTGTCTGGCTCATTGGAGGAGTACAACAGTTGTGATGATAACACCTGCCATTGACTGAGAGTTTACTAGATTCCAGACCGTGAGCTAAGTTGCTCTTGTTTGTTGTTTTAACAATCCTATGGAATAATTACAGTTATCCCATTGCAGAGAGAAAACAGAGGGCACCTAGCTAGCTGTGTTGCGAAGTCTTCATTCAAGCCTGAGTCTGTATGGCTCCATAGGGTGCTCTCTGATTCCCACCCTCCATCACCTGGAACATAGGCAAACACAATTCCTCCTGCTCTTCAATTACTGGCAGTCAAACAAGATACAAGGCGGCACAGATGCTGGGTTTTTAAAGGAAGCAGTTATTTACCTGCCAGAGTTAATTTTCCTTCGTAGAGAAGGTGTCTGTTGGTTGGTGACAAGATGTTTTCTGCTGTGTGTTCTTTAAAAATGTGTTTCAAACACTTGTAAAACAAGGGAGAAAATAAAAGAGATGTTGTTAGTGATCGGAAGAGAACATGTTTAAAAAGCTGGGGCAATCAACTCCATCTAGAAAGTTCATGACATTTGGAAATGCCGGCAGACGGACATGGGAACGGGAAACAATGAAAAAACCTCTCAGAAGGACCATCATAAGAATGGCACAGCGACCTCAGCCTCCCCGCACACAATGCCCTACAGATGAAGACTTTACTTCCTGTTCTGGAAACTAGATTTATTCTTCAAGTGGACAGATGGGGACATCTAAAATGATTGTATTTCTATCTGAATGCCCAACTTCCAGAAATGGACAGAAGTCCTAATTGATTTTTTTTTTTTTTTTGTACCTCTGGAATGAAAAACCTTTTATCTCTATCCCAAAGCGGTGGCCACACTATAATCTCCTGTAGATATCTAAATTTTTGGAAATTGTCCAGCCATTTCACTTTTCCTTCAAGGTCCCCTGAAAGACAAGACATAGTCAGTCTTTTTAGGTGCATGTGACATTGCATATAAATTTTAACCAAGGCCCACAGGAATCATTTAGAAGCACTGGCCGTCCCTGGAGCCAGACCATATATTAAGTTCGTTTCACATATTGCTTGCTGTTCATGCGTCTTAGAAAACTCACTAATTTGAAATCAGCCTCTTGCAGAGAAAAATGAAGCTTAGCTAATTTAATTCAGTAGGTTGAAAGTATATTGTGTATTCTTATTTCAAGAATACTAATAAAATCCTTGGTAGTTTTCTCTTATTTCCTAGACCACACAGCCTGTAATTAGAGGAAGAAAAAAAATCAGACTAACAAGGACAAACATATGTTTTTGTCCCAATCGTAAAAGTATATTTTCACTTCATGATCATGGTGATTATTTCTTTTTTAGTAGGAACTCAATTTATCTTTGGAAGGTTTATATTCATTTTCCAATGTTTTCTAATAACATGTTGCTATTGAGGGTTTGGAATGTTTTTTGAAGACATGCAGGGCAAGTAAAAGACCTGCAGAATCACATTGTTAGCAGACCTCTTCAGAATTCACCATCTTTAAGATAATAGACTTAAATGGAGGCCACACAGGTCTCTTCCCTCAACAACAGAATCCATCTTTCACTGAGAAATCTCCAGAGGTGCTGCGTTATCTTTCCTCACAAACTCATCTAAATGAGTCATAATCCTTAAGATTACTTCTAAAGCTTAAAGAAGTCATCTTTAAGAGACTCTTTGTCTTACTCGCTTGATAAACTTAATTCCAGCTCTTCAGGTAATTTTAGAATTTGAATAAAAAATTTAAAAACAGAAGAAAAACCCAATTAAACAGTCATTTTAACTTTTTTTTTTTTAAAGCACCTGTTCCAGGCAGTATCATTTTACTTTTAAATTTGTAAAAGAAAAAACAATTATGTACAGCTGAATATTACCAATTTGAATTGTTCCCTTTTCATGCCCATCGAGAAACCTTGGTTTATGGGCATAAATCATGAACTTCTTTATGTGAATTTCAATTATACAGAGTTACACAAATAAACTTAAGTCATCATAGGGCCTGCTCAGTTCCCATCCTCAAATTTCAGTTCTAAAGATTGCAGTTGGCAGTAGTTTCACATTGACCTTGGCTTTTGGTGATTTGAGAAATGATGAATGGTAATTTATCCTCTGGACACATTTTCCATGGTGTTTACTCCCATTTGCTTTGTGTGTGGGGTCAGTATGGCTGTTAAAAACAAAGTGCCTTCAGTTATCTGGGAAGTAGAACTTTTCCTGCCTGAACTTACTTCTGAAACACTTGGAGACAGAGCCACATCCTGTGTAAACTTGGTGCTAGAGTTCTCATAGTGTTCGCCAGGATGTGACTGGAGCCCATTGTTCTGTGCGTATTTGATTTACAATGTACTCACACTTGAACCCACATTTCCAAGAGCCATGACCTCAAATCAATGGAATTGCCTCCTAAGATGGAAGCCTAGAGGGTTTCCAGGAGTCACAAGGCCACAATTCTTCAATTAAGCTCAATTATCTCAGGGACTTACGGATGGACTTTTCCACCTTTTCCTTGATGGAGTAGATCATGATTTTCTCAGCAGAGTCCATGCTCCTTTTCCAGATATTCTTCAGCAACAACGGATATCGAGTGAGCCTCTGAAGTGGGGCCACTAGTAGCTCAGGCAGGTGGAGCCGTCTGCATTGTTCATTTTGCTCACACCACTGGGGAAGGCAAAAGTAGCCACATCAGAATGATCTACCTCACCCATTGAGCCACTAAGAAGCCTGGATATGAGAGGTTCTTGGAGATTTTACTCAGTAACTGCAGGCCTTACTTGTGAGTGTGCTGGGACAGTTTATAAGCCACAAATTAAATCCCCTAAAAAGTGCATGTTCCATTAGCGGTAGTGATAAGATGTAATAATAGATGTGTTCCAGCCTTGTTTACCCTTCTCATTTGAGAGTGAATTTACTTTTGCCCATTAGCCTTTCTTCCCAGGCCCTCAGGGGAGATTTCTGGTTTCACCAGCTTTGTTCCCATCCTTGTTGTGATGCAGTTAGGAGAATTCAGAATTGAGACTGGAGAGGCAGGAGGGCAAAGGAAGGATTCTTGCTTGTTGGGTCAATTCCTTGACTCCCCTTAGCTGAGGAGGATCAAGGTAGTGATAAAAAATGAAGAAAAAAGAAAAGAGAAGTTGAAGAGGCTTAGTTGATCTAGAACAAAAAGGGGAGAGGAAAGAGGTAGAGATGTGGACAATTTTCAATAGGGAGAGTTTGGAGTTGGGATTTGGAAGAAGAGGCAGTTCTAAGGTATGCCAGCACTGGGGAAGACAAGAAATTTTAGTAATTTAGTTAAGTGTAGTAAGTATTGCCATGGGTTATACATTGGGGTTCCATAAATGGTGTTTGAGAAACCTCAGTAAACATGAGAATAGCTTTTACATTTGTTTTATCTGCTGTGCTATTTCTTTGAATGTGAGCTTCCTTGAACTAAGGGGCTCTGACTTTAACGAAGGTGGCAAATGAGGCATGGAGGTAGTCACTGGCCAGCATGCAGATGGGTACATCAGGAAGGAGTAGAGGGGGTGGTGTGTTCTATTCCTCTTCTCTTACCCTGTCCACTCACACCAAATTGACCCTGAGTTCAGTGATAAAGGGATTAATATCAACCGAATGTTTGTTTTCCTTCAAATCCACGTAATATTACTTTTAATGCCAAAAACTGCAATTACTTTTGCACCAACCTAATAAAATCCTAACCTTCAATGGGGTGGTATTAGGAGGTGGGGCTGTTGGGAGGTGATTAGGCCATGAGCATGAAACCCTCTTGAATGGGATTAGTGTCCCTATAAAAGGGGTCCTGGAGAGCTCTCTAGCTCTCTTTCCACCATGTGAGGCTACAACAACAAGACAGCTGTCTGAAACCCAGGAGAGGGTCATCACTAGCCCCTAACCATTCTGGCATCGGGAGACTTTCAGCCTCCAGAACTGTGAGCAACAAATTCCTGTTGATTATAAGCCACCCAATCTATGGTGTGTTGTTCTAGCAGCCTGAATTGACTACAACAGGGATCCCGCCCTTACACTAAATATTTCTCCTGCTGCAGGCTGGTGCCTCATTTCTTTTCCACCTTCCATTCTCCTTTCATTCTCCAGGTTAAATCCTTTGCAGTGTGACCCAGATCCTTCAGGGCCATCCTCAGGTGGGCCAGGCACACTGCAGGAGACTCCTGCTGCATCCCCAGAGACACCTTCAAGTCCACGTGTCAGCCCTTGCATTTTGAAGATCTAGGTACAATTGGCTCAACTCCCAACCAATCCAATGGCCTGTGGAGGTCCAAACTCCTCCCCTAGATATTTACCAACTCAGGGGACTGAGATTCTAATGGCTTCCTCTGGCCCCTGAACTCTTGTTTCCATGTACACTGTTTCTTTCCTGAACAGCATGGAACAAATGTATCCTTTTGGTTTCCTATGTGAGTTTCTGCTGTAAACCCCCTCATGACATGTTTTGTGAGTGTGCATATTTATTTTACTGAAGATTTTGGGTTGTGAAGAGGGGTCAAATACACAGTGCCCACTAAGACCCATTTACATTTGTCTGGCTTCCATTCTGCTTCTTTTGAAAGAGAGAGCTCTTTCTTCTCTTCCTCCTTTAAAACGCCTCCCTTTGTCTGCTAGCCCTCCTGGGCCTAAGGCAATTTGCTATTTGTCTTTCATAAGCTTGAGCGCCTCGGTCGCTTGGTGGTTGAGTGGTTGTCTAACTCTCCTTTCCCACCACTAATCAGCCTTTTTTTTTTTTTTTTTTTTTTTTTAGGGGAGATGGGAACAGGAGGTTATTTTGCTCTGGTCACCCAGGCTGAGAGGTGCTAGGGTGGTATGATCACAGCTCCTGCGGCCTCGGAGGCCTTCCCACCTTTCATAAGGCAAGTCAAGGCGGAGTCCTCCCACCCGTAAGAGCCTGTGCCCATTCGCTGGCACCACATGGTAGCAAGGCACCACCACGTGGCTATTTTAAATTTGGTTACGGAGGGACCTGGGATTCGTCACTATGTGGCCCCACGGGCTTGGTCTCAACATTGCCGGAGTTCCAGCAAATCTGCGGCACCCCTCCCGCAAGTGGCTGGGGATGTTACATGTTGTGAGCCATAGTAACCTGGCTTAGCTCGGATGGTTTTGGAAAAAACATCTGAGCTGCTTTCATTCGAATGGGGATGCTTGCCAAATCGATGTCCTTCGTTGGTCGGGGTGTGGTATCGGACGCCGTGTAATTCCAGGCCACTTTTGGGGAGCCGAGGCAGGGAGGGATCACTTGAGGGTCAGGAGTTCAATACCAGCGGCGTGGCCATACATGGTGAGAACCCCTCAGCTTCCTCTTACTAAAATACAAAAAAAAAAAAAAAAGGAAAAGAAAAAAATAGGAGTGGTGGGCGCGCGCACCACTTGTGAATCTTCGGAGCTACAGCAGGTCGAGGCTTGGCGAGGTTTGTGAGGGAATCACCTGAACCTGGTAGGCAGAGGTTGCAGTGAGCCAAGATAGCACCACTGCACTCCAGGCTGGGCAACAGAGCAAGACTCTGCCTCTAATTCAATCTTCTCCTTTCCCCTACGTACAGATGGCTGGCCATGAGAGTGAGCTCATGGTGCATGGTGAACGGAGCTCTAGGAGCTGGGCTCTGAGGACCACCTTCTCTCTCTGGGCCTCCGATTTCTCTTTTTAGACAAATTAGGCAATGTGCTGAAAGATATGGTCATTCTAGGGCAGAGGTAGGATTTGAATTCAGACCTGTCTGAACATGATGTTCAATCTCCTACAATGCTCTGTTGTAAACAACATTATTGTAGAACTTAAGCCTGTGTTATGGGCTACCTGAAATTGACCTATAAATGCAGTGGGGTAAATTTACCCTTAAGGCCAAGCTTTATGAATGTATGTACTTTATCCTGGTGCACATTAATGGGATTAGAATTCTTCAAACTGTTTTAGTTTTATTTATTTATTTATTTATTTATTTATTTATTTATTTATTTATTTATTTAGACAGGGTCCGTCTGACTCTGTCACCCAGGCTAAGTGCAGTGGTGCAATCATGACTGACTGCAACCTCAGACTCCAGTCTGGCTAGATGGCTCTTGGCTAGATGATCTTCAAGTTCTCCTCCAGCTCCAAATGACTGTGGTTCTCATTGAGGTTGGCAGGGATGGAGACAGAAGCAAGCACGACAGATAAAGAAAGGCTGAGAGTGGAGGGGAGCAGGGCTGTGCTTTAGCGGCTGATTTCCATGTTGACTCAGGGACAGCATCGTTCCAATGATACCTTTGAGTCCTGGACCTCTTGGGTGCCTGGGAATCCTTGTAACTGATTTCTCAGCAGCAGTTAGGCCCCTGCCGTCCCAAAACCTCACCGCCCCAGGCCACTGCCCCAAATTGCCCTGCTGTGGGAAACAATGGTGGCTGCCAGCATGCACTGGTATTCAGGGTCAAAGTGAAAACACCAAACTCCTCCAGATAAAAACTGGCAAGAAGCATCTGTGGTAAATAATTTAGACAAGGATCCAGGCAGGGATGTTGGAAGCGTTTGTGTTTCAGGAAACTTCAGAAGACAGAAAAAGAACGGCTTGACATTATAAAAGTGAAGCTGTAAGTTTTCCTTTCATCTCTCTATTGACTTCATTTTTCAGGTCCGTTAGGGAAGGCAAATAACACTTCATCGAGAGAGATTGGACATAAAAGGCCTTTTTTATTGATGAGTCTAGATCAATGGAGGCTACTTTTGCTTTATAATAAATATCCAATGTGCTTAGGGGAACTGTGAAAGGATTCAAGGGCCCCAGATGAAAATATGTCCCATCACTTGAGTGTGGGAGGTTGAGGCTGCAGTGAGCCATGATACTACCACTACATTCCAGCCTGGGTGACAGAATGAGACCCTGTTCCAAAAAATAAATAAAATAAAATAAAATAAAAAGTCCTAATAAATCTGTCTTAATGGGATGCAGCATTAGGATGGGGCAACCAGAATTCTTGGAACCTCGGGAAATTTACTTACCCTTTCTAAAATTTATCAGTAAAATGTAGATAACAAGAGTAACTACCTCACTGGGATGGCGAGAGGTTTTAATGAGATAATCCACACAAAGTGCTTAAAACAGAGCGTGGCACATCTCAAACACTCAGTCCATAGCAGCTAGAGTTCTTAGTCATTGTTAGTTGCGTCACATGAAGAGACTTGGTATGAAGTTCCCAGTTTCTTCCTCTGCATTATTTTGTTTCTAAAATAGTAAGCAGGAGGATCGCTTGAGCTTAGGAGTCTGAGATAAGCTGGGCAACATAGCGAGATCCAATATCTATAAAAAATTAGAAAATTTGCCAGGCATGGTGGCATGTGTGTGTAGTCTCAGCTATATGGGAAGCTGAGGTGTGAGGGTCACCTGAGCCCAGGAGTCTGAGGCTGCAGTGAGCTGTGATTGTACCACTGCACTCTAGCCTGGGTGACAGAGTCAGACCTTGTCTCAATAAATACATAAATAAGTAAATAAATTAAAAAACAAACAGTAGGCAGAATTCTAATCCCATTAATGTGCACCAAGATAAAATACATACATTCATAAAGCTTAGCCTCATGTGGTATGGAGGGTTTAGAGGTCATTTATCAGTGCATTTACAGGTCAGTTTCAGGCAGCCCATCACATGGCATAGGTTTACATTCTCCAAGAACGTTGTTTTCCAACAGAACATTGTAGGAGATTCAACACTGGGTTCAGACAGGTCTGAATTCAAATCCTACCTCTGCCCTAGAACAACCATACCTTTCAGCATGTTGCCTAATTTGTCTAAACTCCTGAAAAATGGGGACAATATCAAATTCTGCAGTTAGTGTGTAGACAAGAAGATGAGGGATGACCAGCATGTAGCACAGTGTCTAGGCCATAGCAAGGGCTCAAACACTAGTCACCATGAGTATCTGTGAGTCTCTCCCTGACCTCTCACCTTTGTTTCATGAGGTTAATAGTTCCACGGTCATGGGAAATAGCCCCAAGGAACTGGAAATAGTTCTGATATGAAGAGCACTGGATTTTTTGCCTGAAAATCTTTCTATGGTTCTTTCTTTGCCACCTATTGGCTATGTGGCCTTGCAAATGTCATCTAACCTCTCTGAGACTCGGGGACACAAAGGAACAATGTAATCAACTTTACAGGTTTGTGTTCAGAATTAAGAGATGTTTGAGAAAGTGTCTGGTAAAGTATTATGCATTGTAAAAGCGTCACGTGGTCTGGGTGTGGTGGCTCACGCCTGTAATCCCAGCACTGTGGGAGGCTGAGGCAGTTGGATCACTTGAGGTCAGGAGTTCGAGACCAGCCTGGCCAACATAGTGAAACTCTGTCTCTACCGAAAATACAAAAAATTTGCCAGGCATGGTGGCAGGCACCTGTAGTTCCAGCTACTCGGGAGGCTGAGGCAAGAAAATCACTTGAACCTGGGAGACGCAGTTTGCAGTGAGCTGAGATTGTGCCACTGCACTCCAGTCTAGGTGACAAAGCAAAGTTCTGTCTCAAAAAAAAAAAAAAAAAAAAAGCATCATGTGTTATAACAGCACTGTATTCTCTACCTACTACCTTTCCCAAAATATCTTTGGATGCCACATATATTTTTATTCATACACAATTGTACATATCTATGGGGCACATGTGATATTTTGATACATGCAAACAATGTGTAATGATCAAATCAGGGTATTTAGGACATGCTTAACCACATTTGTTAACATCATTTCTTCATGTTGAGAACATTTCAAATCTTCTAGCTATTTTGAAACACACAATAAATTATTGTTAACTATAGTCACCCCAGTGGGTTATCAGGCACTAGAACTTATTCCTTCTATAACTGTATGTTTGCACCCATTAACCGACCTCTTTTCATCCCCTTCTCCCCACTTCCCAGACTCTGGTAACCATCATCCTACTGTCTATCTCCATGATACTAACATTTTTTAGCTCCCACATATGAATGAGAACATGCAATATCTGTCTTTCTGTGCCTGGCTTATTTCACTTAATGACCTCCAGTTTCATCTGTAAATGACAAGATTTCATTCTTTCTTTCTGGCTGAATAATATTCCATTGCATATATATATTGTATTTTCTTTATCTAATCATCTGTTGATGAACACTAGATTGATTCTATGTCTTGGCTATTGTGAATAGTGCTGTAATAAGCATGGGGGAGCAGGTATTCCTTTGATACACTGATTTCTTTCTTTTGGCTAAACACCTAGTGGTGGGATTGCTGGATCGATGGTAGTTTTATTTTTAGCTTTCTAAGAAACCTCCATTTTGTTTACTATAACAACTGCACTAATTTACATACCCACCAACAGTACAAAAGTTCCCTTTTCTCTGTATCCTTGCTGGCATCTATTATTTTATTTTATCTTTTTAAATAGTAGCCATTTTAACTGGGGTAAGATGATATCTCATTGTGGTTTTGATTTGTATTTCTTTGATGATTAGTGATGTTGAGATATATATATATTTTTTTCATATACCTGTTGGCCATTTGTATGTTTCATTTTGGGAAATGTCAGTTCAGATTTTCTTTTCTCACTTGTTGGGATTTATTTTTTTGATCTTTGAACTCCTTGTATATTCTAGGTATTAGTTCCCTGTCAAATGAATAGTTTGCAAATATTTTCTTCCATTCTGCAGATTGTCTCTTTACTCTGTTGTTTCCTCTGCCGTGCAGGAGCCGTTTGGTTTAATATAGTCCCATTTGTCTATTTTTGTTTTTGTTGCCTATGCTTTTGAAGTCTTAGCCCTAAAATATTTGTGTAGACCAATGTCCTCTAGTGCTTCTTTTATGTTTTCTTCCACCAGTTTTATAGTTTCAGGCCTTATAATTCATTTTTATTTGATTTTTAGATATGGTGAGAGATGGGGTCCACTTTCATTCTTCTGCATGGAGATACTCAGTTTTCCGAGCACTATTTACTCAAGACAGTGTTGTTTCTCCAATGTATGTTTTTGGTGCCTTTGTCAAAAATCATTTGGCTTTGAATACATGTATAGAGGATTTTCCAAAGTTACTTGAAAACAATAATTGGACCTTGTTAAATTAATCTCTGTCTCAGCTTGGAAGGGAGAGAAAGGAACCTGGATTCTCCCAGTTTGGGGGCCTACCTAAGAGTCTAATCCATCAGCTTCTAGGGGAAACATTCACAAAATGATTATTCATGCATTTGGAAATCTAATGAGCTATCAGTTTTCAGTTTGGGTAGCAAATGAAACATTAAAGGTCCGAAGCTACAAAAATATGGCCAAGTCCCTTCCCTAAGATTATTCCCCTTTTCTCATCCTTGGCACACCCAGGCTTCCTGGCATATCAAGGCCGTGACAGAAGCCCACTGATTCACAGCTGAGTCATTGGGAACCATGGGAGCCTTTCCTCCCAAGCCTCTGAGGTCATGCTCTGGCAGGGGCTTCTTGCAGCTGCAGGGAAGAGCTGATTTTCTGGAAAGGCTTGGACCATTTTCTCTGTATGATCCAAAAGGGCTCTGGCACAGGACTGAAAAGGTCCAGTTCAGACTAAAGAAATATCAAGGCACGGACCAACAGAATTAGGGAAGTCAGGGGAAATTGGTTTTAGGCCTGGCTACTAGAAAATGCTGAAGGCCCCCGGCAGAAATTTCTTTTAATGCTGTGGGACCCAGAGCTGCCATATTAGTGCAATTCCGGAGGCAACATTGACATTGTGCTTTATACTCTAATCAAGGGGGCAGCACGGATGTAGAATACAGTGTAAATGACGCCGCAAGTTTCTGTCCCGGAACTAACTCCTGCAAGAGGCAAACTTCTAAGTCACAAAGCTCAGGTTCTTACTATAGTTTCTCCTTACAATGTACCAGTTTCTACCGCAAATAAAATAATGAACAAAGAACACATTTTTAAGCCCCAGCCAAAATCTCAGGAGGGATATTAGATAACATAATGTTTCCAGATGTGCACCATTTAATATTCCTAAGTGTGCAGTGGCCAATGTATTTATGAGGAAAGCAGATTTATAGTTAAAACATAGTGTTGATCATTTTGTTTTCTTCTTCCCATTTAATTTAAATACAATCATTCCCAGTACACATGACACCCAAAAAGCACCAGAAAAATTACGAAAGAAAAGAAAATGATACCTTACTTTTAAATAAATTCCAAAGTCATCTCTCTGCCTCAGGCTCTCAAGATAAAAGATAGCAGCTGAATAGTTCAGGCAGTAGGTCTGGTGGCTCTGACAGAGACTCCCTCGGAAATACTGCAAGAAAGGAAGAGCAGAAGGAGGATGAACACAAGTGAAGGAGAGCATTGATCCCTGACAGACTATTTCTCTTCACTTTTATCATTAACTAGGGAAAAGTGGAGGAGGCGCCATGATCAAGCAGGCACTACAGTTGCGTGGAAATACACAGCTAATCTCCAAATAAACATTATTTTAACAAAATATGATACTCTCATAATAAACAGCTGACACCTCAATAAATAGTCTTTTTCTCCTTATACTTAAAGAAAATTCTATTTAGGCCGTCTTGATTTAATTCACCCCTTCACTTCTGTTAAGGTTTCTTCAGGCGCCACATCCTGCAGGACACCCAGTAACAAATATTGCCTTTGATTTGGGTGACCCTGTTGGTTGATGTTAAGTTTGTGTTGATACTAAGTGATTAAAGTAAGGACACTTGACTTTTCATCTGATATGTCTCAAGAATTTCCATGCATTTAATTTTGCTGGCTTCTAAACATGTAGAAATTTTGGACATCTTGGCTGGGCGCAGAGGCTCACGCCTGTAATCCTAGCACTTTGAGAGGCGAGGCAGGCGGATTGTCTGAGCTCAGGAGTTCGAGACTAGCCTGGACAACACGTTGAAACGCTGTCTCTACTAAAAAATACAAAAAATTAGCTGGGCCTGGCAGCATGTGCCTGTAGTTCCAGCTATTTGGGAGGCTGAGGCAGGAGAATCGCTTGAACCCAGGAGGTGGAAGTTGCAGTGAGCCGAGATCGCACCATTGCATTCCAGCCTGAGTGACAGAGGGAGACTCCATTTCCAAAAAAAAGGAAATCTGGGACATCTCTACTCAGCGTACTCTATCTAGTAGCATGCATTTTATCCTACTCAGTCTAATACTTGTCTTCCCTTTTCTTCATTATTTTTATTTAATGTCTTAAACTTGCTATAATGACTACACATTTGTAAGCCACCTAAAATTGTTTTTAGAATAAGGCAATTATATATATATATATATTCATACATATAATGGGTAAACTGAGCACACTGAACTACATGTCACCATCTCAGTTAAGCGTCTTTCTTGGGAATGATGGTTATTCTTTTTCTCTTCAGCAATTCTTCTGGCTTGTTACTGGCAGGCACTCTCTTCAGGATTCCATCATAGTGTCTACCATGTTGTTAAGCCTATGTGTCCATTGATAGGTTTATTGATAATATAATGACTCATGGGCTGCATTAAGGAATTTCCAGTAGTATCCCAATGTGGTGAACTGGAGAAAGAAAGCACACCTGCTGGTGTTAGAGAAAGCAGACCCAGCCTGAAAAACCACTAACAGAAGTGACAGTAACAAAGCCAGAGATGGTGAAACCTACAAAAATATTTTGTTATAGGACCTTAGAAGACAAAACACTATAGGGAGCAATGTCAAGTTTTGGCTTCAGCAAGAAGTAATTTGAAAGATGATGTGAGTTTATTTTGGAGGGGAATGTTGATAGCTGGGCCTTGAAGAGAACTTGGAGGTAAAGGGAGGGTCTTCTCATGAGGCACTGAGATGCTTGAGAAATGTCAGAACCAGGAGGTAACTGGTTAGAGGCCAAGATTAAGACTCACTAATGGGGCTGCACGTGGTGACTCACACGTGTAATCTCAGCACTTTGGGAGACCGAGGCGGGTGGATCATCTGAGGTCAGGAGTTCGAGAGCAGCCTGGCCAACATGATGAAACCCTGTTTCTACTAAGAATACAAAAATTAGCTGGGCATGGTGGCGCACACCTCTGGTCCCAGCTACTCGGGGGGCTGAGGCAGGAGAATTGCTTGAACCTAGGAGGCAGAGGTTGCAGTGAGCCGAGATTGGGCCACCGCACTCCAGCCTGGGTGACAGAGCAAGACTCTGTCCACCCTCCCCTCCAAAAAAAAGAAAAATAGAGTCATTAATGGTCAGGCTTAGATATCCAGTTCTACCACCCATTGGCTCTGTGATCTCAGCCAAATTATCTAACTTCTCTAAGCCTCAGTTTCTATCTCATTGACTTGATAAATACAAAAATTAGCTGGGTGTGGTGGTGCATGCTTTTAATACCAGTTACTTGCGAGGCTGAGGCATGAGAATTGCTTGAACCTGGGAGGCGGAGGTGGCAGTGAGCTGAAGTCGCACTACTGCACTCCAACCTGGGCAACAGAGAGGCTGTCTAAAAAAAGTAAATAAAAAAACAACAACACAACAAACAAAACGTCCAAAGATCTTCTTATTTCAACCCATTTTCAATGTTCACTAAAGGATCTTCCCGCTTATTTTTGCCTTGTTAAAACTCTTCCTTCTTCATGTATCTTCTCAAGTGTCATATCCCCAGGAAGCATTTCCTACCTGTGACTGCCCTACTATGCTTCCCAACTTACAAGGTTTCCTTTGTTGGACACTCATGATATTTATGTTCCTTCTTTTCCCCAGCATTTATCTTACTTTGATTATATAATCATTAGTGTCATTATTGGATTAATTTCTCCCCAATAAGACTTAAAATTTCTTTCTTTTTTTTTTTTTTTTTGAGGTGGAGTCTCGCTCTGTCGCCCAGGCTGGAGTGCAGTGGGGAGATCTCGGCTCACTGCAAGCTCTTCCGCCTCCCGGGTTCACGCCATTCTCCTGCCTCAGCCTCCCAAGTAGCTGGGACTACAGGCGCCCGCCACCACGCCCGGCTAATTTTTTGTATTTTTAGTAGAGATGGGGTTTCACTGTGTTAGCCAGGATGATCTCAAATCTCCTGACCTCGTGATCCATCCACCTCGGGCTCCCAAAGTGTTGGGATTACAGGCGTGAGCCACCGCACCCAGCCGACTTATAATTCCTTAAAAGCAAGGAGCTTGTTTAATTTTTCACATTATTGTATACAGGGTATTGGCTCCATATATAGCACTTAGTAAGTTCTCAATAAATCTCAATCTGTCTTTTTTTCTTAAAAAGTGAAGTTTAAAAATTCAGATTTTGCTAAATGAAATTAGATTAAAATTAGATTAAAAATCTCAAAGTAAGAAAAGTAGGGGAGGATGTCCAAATGTCTACTCAAGAAATAAATAGCACTTATCAAACCCGGGGCACAGGTTTTCCTCTTTTCTCCTCATTTCACCCACAGAAATATGATCAAGGGTGTTGATGAATTTGAAGGTTTATTCTGTTTCTTTCTGAGAAATTGGTACTTTCGTTAAAACAACTGAATCATGTAATTAGCAGACACTAAACTATTGCCATGAATATTGCTTTAAATTGAAGTAATTTAAAAAACAGACTTGGAAATGGCTTTTCCATGCATGCAGATTTTTGTGTTAATAAAACCTACACAGGAGATGTGACAATGGGAAAACAGAATCTGCAAGTTATTTTGGAAAATGTTGATTGGTAGAGAAAGGGACAGTTCCTTTGTAGGAGGGTGGAGGTAGAACTTTCCCAGGGAGAAGAAAAATCAAGTAGGGTATAAACAACTGTCTTGGGAGGTGGGTAATGCTACTTTATGAAGCTGAGATCTCCCGGAAGTAGTTTACCTTTGTGAGTACGGAAATAAAATCCAGTGATGAGGAAATATCAGAAGCGTCTACATAGTCCTTGATAATGCCAAAGAGACTGTTCACAAAACCAAGGCTTGTCTAGGGATAGAGAGAAAGAAAGCAAAAGTAGGCACACACCCAGGGTTAAGGAATAAACATTTGTTGAACTTCAAGTATCATTCTTACACGTTTCCCATTTCAAATTTATCTCCTAGCAAAATTCAAAGATTTATTTCCTCCACTCTCCAATACATATTTTCTTATAAGTATTTCTTATAAATAAATTCTTGTTGTTGTCTCTCTTTCTTTCCTTTTAAGAGGAAAAATATTATTTGTTTATAATGTATGTGAGAAGAGGACATTCAGTTGAAAATAAACATTTATGAAGATGATGGAGATGTTAGGAATGTGTTTACTTTTTAAAATAGCCATGGAAAAATGACAAATAAAGGGTAACTAATATCTACAATTTATGGGAAAGGCATCAATGGATATTTCAACTTCTTTCTTATTAACCTGAAGTCCTGACTGGGAATGGAATATGGAGATGTATTATGGAATACAAGCCATAAGAACAGACCAAGTATGAATTTTCAAGATCTTCTAGTGAATGTTAAAACATGACTACTAAAATCTTCCTACTTGGCTCACCTGAGTTAACTCCTCCAGGTTTGCAAAAAGTCTCCATAAATCCACATCTAGGAGATATTCATGAGTTTGCAGATATTTTAGTGTATTCATAAAGATCTTTGAAATAAAAAATATATGCACATTAATTTCTATTTTTTAATTTTGAAACATACCTTTTGCAAGAACATTAAACATAAACCTCCTGGGTATAACTTTACAAAACCATGGAGAAATCAGCACTCTCAAGGTTTAAATGCTATACTCAAGACAAATGATCACATTTAAGCTTCACAGAACATATTGGAAATGAGCTTTTCAGTATGAAAGTTGTGGTTGCTTAAGTCAATTCTAACAACATTCCTATTGAACAGAATCTGTCCAAATGGGCTTCCTCTGCTTCTAGTGCCAAAGAAATCCCAAAGGTTCTCTTCTTGCAAACACTACTAACTTGAGAGCAAAACGATATTCATGGTGTGTTCTCATATGCTTTCTTCTGCAAAAGACCCAAATATACTTTACTTTCAGGGAATTAAAAGTAGAGATTTAGTGAGTTAATCTCTGATAACTGGTAAAATGTTTCAGTTGTTTAGAGGCATTAAACATGGATGAAACCATTAAGGGAGTTTTTATGTTATTTTTACTTAATCTGATGATTTCACAAACTGGAGAACTACACAGCAAGTCAAAAAATAAAAATAAAAAAAAAGAAGTACAATCCTCACTTACAGCTAGCTTGCCCTTCATTCTATAAACTGAAGAGAGAGCAGTTTATTGAAAAAGAAATACTTTGCGTACATAAGACGGGAAGCATTCAAAGGGACAAAAGGACAAATTATTTCAAGAATGTTAGGGGTTAAAAGACTGGGCTTTTAACCAGGTAACCTTCTCCAATTCCCATTCCTGTATTATTTCATTAGTGTAGCGAGTGGTTCTTGAACTTGCGTCAGAATCACCTGGCAGCTTTGTTACACCAGAGCTTGCTGGACCCCACCCTCATCTATGATGGGGTCTGAGAACGCGCATTTCCAACAAGTCCCCAAGGGATTCTGATGCTGCTGGTCTAGAGGCCACCTGTCGAGAACCACTTAGACCTTTCAAAATCCATGGAGTATTGGTTATCTGGAAATCTGTCAATATCCAAGCATTTAAAACATGATTGTAAGAAACAGAACTCATTACTACAGATAGATTGGGACAATTTGGAAGAAATACTACTATTATTATAAGATTCTTTGCTTTACAGAAATTTTGCATTTAAAAAAAAATGCTGAGTCCTCCAGTATATTTATTATATGAGTCACAAATTTTTAACTCATAAGCGCTTTTGGAAAACATAGTGATTGTGTAAAAGGAAGGTACATATATTCTTTAAATACACTGAGGTGTTTGACGGTGAGCTCAAATTGGCCTTTTCTTAAACAGGAAATGTTATTTTGAAAAGCTTGGACAGTTTACAGTGGGACAGAAAGTTCTGTGGTTCCTTAGGACAAGGAAGGTGGCATAGCTCAGGGGCTTAGTTCTCTGCAGTGAACATTTATCATTACCACCCCCTGCAATACTCCTCTTCCCTAAAAACAGGCTGGTTTTCACCCATGTCTACTCTTCCCCAGGCGGCACATGTGCCATGTGGCAAGCTGATCTCACTGCCAAGGTTGGGTCTTGACTGCCTTAAGCCAATTGGCACATTCCTTCCTTACGGAGCTAGTGGATTTGGCTCACGGGTGGGCATGTGATCTAAGCCAGTCCAGTAAGATTAAATCTCAAGACTTTTGCTATGAATGCTGAGAAGATCTCTCTCTCTCTCTCTCTCTCTCTCTCTCTCTCTCTCTCTTTCTCTCTGGCCATTAGCTCAAGGATAGCAACCATGCTGTGACCACAAGAGAAGTCAGCCATAGGATGTGGCTAATGCCATGGAAGGCAGAGTGAGAGATGGAAAGAAATGTTTTTTGTTTTGTTTTGAGCCCCTTGATCAAACATGTCTTGAATTCTCTCCCACCTCTGAACTTGGCAGTCACAAGGACTAACAAAATACTGTATTATTTAAGCTAGTTTTCTATTACATGCTCTTGTAAGCATCCTAACTGACATGGTCTCTAAATTTCAGTTTTCTCCTAGAGTGTCTTTGTGTTTTACATTTTGCTAAGTTAAGGATTTAGCACTGTGATTGACAAAAAATATTACTTACAGAAAATAACTGACGTTTGTATAGCACTTGATAGATTTCAAAGAAAACTAATTTGATCATCATAATGGTCTTATGAGATAGCCAGAGATGGTACTGTCATTTCTCTTTTACAGCTTAGGACAGGGACTGTCAAACTATGCAGGCTGTGAGCTTAATTTGGCCTGCCACCTGTTTTTGTAAATGATGTTTTCTGGGTGACACAGTCAGGCACATTCCTGTAGACTGCTTTGGCACTGCAATGGCAGAGTTAAGTGGTTGCAACAAAAACTATATAGCCTGAAAAGCCCAAAATATTTACTATCTGCACCTTTGCAGAAAAGATTTGTCAGCCCCTGGTTTAGGATATGAAGGACTACACTTTCCTAAGGTCACAAGGCAAATCAGAGACAGAGCCAGGGCTTGAACTTAGGTCTGCCAGCACAGTGCCTTTTAGCTGTGTAAGACAGTCATCAGGATGCAAAAGTATTATGGTCAGAGGCAACCTTGGGAGCTGTGTGGCCCATCCTCCCCTGTGGTCCTGGGAGGAAGCTGCTCTATGGTTCTCTTCCTTGCTCTATTGTTCTTCTAGAAAAAATTCTCTGTTCTGAGCCTCACCAGAGCATAGCTGCAGCAGTGTGTAACCATACAGGTGCTATTTACATAGGAGACATCATGAATATACCATGTAATTCAACAGTACTAAATTGCATGTGTATGGTAGCCCCCGAAATCTGCAATGGTGGCCCTGCAGCTGATAAAAAGCAGTCACCTGGCACTGTTCACGAGGGAGCAAGAGCTCCAAGAAAGGAAGCCAAGGAAAGATGGAATGGACTGCCTGAGAAGGGTGTGAGCTCCCTGGCTCAGGAGTGTGCAAACTGGTGAGACAAGGCAGAAGAGATTCATTCAACATCGGATGGGACACTGGAGTAGTTCACTAAGAAGATCTCATCCAATGTTAAAGTATAAAAAGACAGTAGAGTAATAGGTAAACAAAAATAAATGACAAATAAAAATTTTCACGATCCCCTGAAAGAGGGAGAAAAAAACCTCACCTCGCCTCCCTTTCCCTCTCTTTTCCTTCCTTCCTTCCTTCCTTCCTTCCTTCCTTCCTGTTCCTTGCGTCCTTCCTTCCTTCCTCTCTTTCTTTCTTTCCTTCTCTCTTTCTTTTTGCCTCCCTTTCCCTCTCTTTTCCTTCCTTCCTTCCTTCCTTCCTTCCTTCCTTCCTTCCTTCCTTCCTTCCTTCCTTCCTTCTTCTCTCTCTTTCCTTTCTTTCTCTTTCTTCTCTCTCTCTCTCTATTTCTTTCAGAAGAGGAAAACAAGTGCCCAAAGAAACAAATTTTCCATCTACTACAAAATTAAGCCTGGCATTACCATCTTAAGAACTAATAAATGGTCCAAAAAATAGGTGCATTCACTTGTGAAAAGTTCCCACATGGCCTCTTGCTGCTTTCTCAAGTCTAATTGATTGGTCAGGAGTTTGTGATGTGTTTCCATGACTTCATCCCAGGTCTTATCCTGTACATGAGGAAAAAAGAGAGAAGAAAACATTTCCACCTCAGTGGATTGACCTGTTGGCTATTTGCTTTGGCTTGCAGTTCCAAAGGGCCAAGCAACCCCTGGAATCATGATTTCCTGCTTCAGGCCCTGGACATCCCTCCTGACAGTGACTCCCCAAGTGACCCAAGCCATCGCTTTCTCTGTGGGGCTCTGGGATGCCAATTCCTCCTAATACGCAGCATGAAATGCACAATGTGCATTACTTCTAGTTTAAGATTCAAATCAATTCAGATTGATGATGCTTTGAATTAAGTTTGAGAATATCATGAGTCTTTTTCAGTTTATTGACATAAAAACTCAAAGAACCCCAAACCCAGGACTGGGAAGTCTGATTCCAGGTTCCACTGGCAAAACTTACTGAAATTAACTACTGAAGAAGCATGAAGTGAGAGTTTTAAAACTCAGGGAGACCTTTAGAAATCGTCTTATCAAAAACAACTTAACGTTTCCAACGAGGAAATCCAGGTCCAGAGAGATGAAGAGTAGTAACAACCACTTTTAACATTTGTAGAGGCTTTCTGGCCTATGAAGTGCTCTCACACTTGTTACCTTATTTAAGATAAAATGGCTTTCCCCAGCTTTCAGTGTGTTTGAGGAGAGCAAGCCCTGTTCAGTCCTGGGTTCCTCTCTTGCATTTTGCTCTTACTGTAAACAAGGCAGTAATCTGGCAGCTTAAAACACTGACCCTCCCCTCCCCACCCCACCAAAAAACTAAAAGAAAAAGCCATGCCCCACAGGAAACAGTTGGAAAGATACCTTCAGACTGTAGAAGTCATAGCCCCTGAAGTTGGTAATTTTCACAGAGGACAGGCAGTTTTCCATATCGGATGTGCGCTTGTGTTTGTCTTTGCCCTGCTTAAAGATGGTTAGAAACAGGATTTTCAAACATGGACTCTTTAATGACACAACTTCGGTAGCCTTGGTATCTTTCGTTCATACCCTAACATTCATGACAAGAGATGACATATTTTGTCTTTAAGCAACTAACAGTTTCAAAGCCATTTCTGAGCTCTAGTAGGAGCCACAGAACCACAGAATGTCAGACCTGAGGGCCACAGGCCCATGAGAATACCTTGTCCAAACCTCTCATTTTACACATTAAAAAAAATCCTGGGCACAGAATGGTCAAACAGCAAACAGTCTTATCATGCCTACCCATTGGGGTGACATAGCCTTTACAGTTTTAACTTTTCCAAACTCTGGACCCTAAGATTTAATTAACATCAGAAGGTACCTCAGACATATTGGTTCAGCCCTTATTTTAGCAGATGACAAAAATAAAGCCCAGTGTTAAAACAACTTGTCCCAAACAATAATTCTCTGTTACAGAATACCAGAACTTGCTGGAAACTCTACTTTCCTTAGAATGGAATCACCCACTTAACTTTTGTTATAGTCATTTTTTCTTAATAATATTTGTTTAAAAAATCTGATTGCTAAGATAATATATGTTTATTGTAGAAAACTTGAGAAACAAACAACAACAACAAAAAAACCATGAAATGTGTCTTCACCCTCACATACCCATTGGAAATATCATATTCTGATCACATTAATAATTAATTTTTAAATAGCACAATGTATCATATTCACACATCCTTTTGCAACTTGCTTTTTAAACTTATATTGTGAGCATTTTCTTTTTGGTTCATTCACTATTCTATTGCAATATCATGAATTGCCCACATAAAGAGTTCATTTTACCAACCAAAGCAAGAAGAAGCTATCAAATAACAACGTGCAAGGCTTTTAAAAGTCAGCTTGGCTGCATTTCAAGTGAATGCTTAGGACAAACAATTTTTCGACTTGTTCTGTTGCCTCAGGGTGCACGATATTGGCATGGATCTAAACAGTTTGGTGAAAGTTAATCGGTGTTGTTTTCATGAGCAAGAAAGGCACAGGTTTTCTACCGTTGCAGGTAGGGGGCTCCCTGCGCGTCTGAAAAGAGATCCTGTCATAGTTTCAGAATGTGCTAATGGGTTGTGGCTGGTTTCTCTGGTAGGGTTATGGCACTGAAAAAGGAAACCTATTGTAGACTCATTAGCCTCCACAGCAGCAAAGGAATCTTGGAACCAGTTAAAGACCTCCTACTGCAATTGGGACATATGCCTTTTGTTGATGTCTGAAACCATAGCGACTGCATGTTGTGGAAATAAAAAATCAGCAGCCAGTTGGAAAAGAAAGAGGCTGAGACAATGGAAGGAGCATTGGAGTTGTGGGAAAGTGGGTGCCAGCCCCGTGTTTTGAAGGGCACTCACCATGGCTCTCTATGGGTCTGACCAGCCTCCTGGCCAAATGTCTGGGTGGGTATTCCAGTGAGGAGAGAGGAGACCGTTCTCCCAGTGGTCACATTAACTCTTGAAAATGACACGCCCATTTAGTACCTTCTTGCCTCCATTGTGGTAGCAGTAGTTAGGAGAGGCAATGAAAAGCATTTGAAGGTTACTTGAGAGAATACACAGGGTAAAGAAAAGTGAGATGCCAAGGTTAATTCTGGAGTCTCAAACTTAGTAACTAAGAGGTAGGTGGCATGAAGATGTGCAGTAGTCACTGGTGACGTGGAACTGGAGCAAAATTGAAGGTTAAGACTGAATATACACATTTTTGGAGTGATTGACAAATCAATGAGAACAGGTAAGATCTATGAGAGCTCTAACGAGAGAATGGATGGAGGAGTTTCCAGGTCTGGTGATGGGGACTCCTACAGTTGAAGGAGCAGGGCCACACAGGGCTAGAACAGACTCAAAGCCAGACTCCTTGGAACGCTGGATGCTCCATAGCTTATGAGCTGTGTGTCCTCAGGCAAACTAGTCGACCTCTCTGAATCCATTTCCCCATTTTCAAAATGAGAAGTAATAATGTTAGTTACCTTGTTGGATTGTTGTAGAATTTATGAGTTCACATGTGTTAACTGACATGCATAAACAAGAATACAGGTAAACAGTAACAGTGCCTGGTAATGTGCTAAACATTATAGATGTGTTTGCTTTTATTACTAATATTAAACTGATGGGAAGAAAGGTAGGAGGAAAGGAAGGAAGAAAGGAGGAAAAGGAAAAATCTGTAATAGATTGGAAAAACACATCACAACATAGAAGTGTGTTTGTTATATTGATGTGGATTACCATTTATAGAGATATGAATTACGTGATAAATAAGGATAAGAGGATAAAGGAAACAATGTTAATTTTAAGAAAACAAGATATTGTGTTCTTGTGAAAGTGAAGCTTCTAGAAATGACTTTCTCTTCATTGCTGAAAACATTTGCTGAGAACGTCCACCAATTATTCTTCCTTTGTGTATCTCCCTCATTGCCTCCCTCCCTCCAACACAGTGCCAACCATTTAGCATGTTTTCCCCCATCACCCACAGTTTACTTGTCAGTCCCATCTTCTCAATTGTGAGCTGATAATGGGCATCCTGGCATCTTAGATATCTGTCCCAGTACTTGGCACAGTTGCTCAACACATGTGTGGAGAACAAGTTGCTTCTTTGTGGGGGAAAAGAATGGATTAATCCCAACAACTTGTAGGAGCGCCCTTCCTTAGCCAAGTTCTTCCCTTCCAAAAGCATATTCTATCTCTCAGGCAGCCCTCAGAGCTTCCCTGTCCTGGATAAGCCCTCGGGAGGGCTTGGGGGAAATGCCCCTTCTCCTGAGATCTCAGATGTGATTGGTGACCAGCTCTGCCTCTGTTTATTCGAGGAAAGAGCTCAGGAGGGGCTGTGTCATAAGCCTTGTCTCAGACCTGTTAGAAAAACAGACAAAGCATGTCTCTAAATGACTGGTGAGCAACAGCCCTGGTGGCAATAGTGTTACAATTTTACTAACAATTTACGATTTGCAGCTCATAATGTTTAAGAGTACGTTCCATATAAACGTTTTATTTTTGGGAAAAAAAGTGAAAGTCAATCATACACTTGGCTATGAGAATAAGTCGTTTTCCAAACCCTAATTAAAGATACTACTACTAGTGATACGGCCAAGATTGACTGAGTGTCTGCGTGTGCCCGGCTCTGGGGTAGGCTCCACATGCATTATAAGGCATTCATTGCAACCACCCTGTGAGGCTGGCACTGGTCTTCTGTCTTTTACAGGGAAGATCTGAGCTGAGGGAGAGTAATCCATTTGGCCAAGGTCATAGGGCAGTAGGGGAAGGAGCTAGAATTGGAACTTCAGAGGACTTTTTATTTAGCGATGGGACTTAAAAAATAGCAAGGTGTGTGTGTCATAGAACCACTGCAGATGTCAGCAACTGATGCCAAAGTGATTGGCAAGGCCATGTGGGCAGATTTTTAACAGAATGAGGCATAGTAACAGTCCATAAGGCCCTGCTGCTGCTGCTGGTTGTGGTGTGTAAGTCATGCAACTAGTACTGCTGGGAGAACACAAATCAGTCCCTCTCCTCCCCCTAGAAAACAGGAGGAGTCCGGTTGTCATCATGAGCATTCCCTCCCTCTTCCCACAGCATGCCAGAAGGAATGGCTTGACTGTGGCCACCCTTGTCCTAGGCAGTAAAGTCTCAGGGACTGCTGATTGAGATGGATAACTCATCAATTATTGATGGAACCAAGAATGAATTCAAACCCACTAGGATTAATCCAGTCGGCTTTCCCAGAAATAGAAGTGTATTTGCGGAATCTGTTTCTGTCAGATCTCATTCATTTTTCAATGTTCCCAATATACATGGCACTAACTGCAAACTGGGGCATACATTTGTGCAAGTTTGCTTCATCGAGTGAGCTGCTTTCTAAGCAGCAAGCTATAAATGTAGTGTTGTAAAGCATCACTATATTAGGATTGCTTTGTGTGTGTGTTTTTTTTTTTTTTTCAGAGCTAATTAACCACTGGCAATTAGCACTGTTTCGCTGCACAAATTGGCAACCCTTGGCATGTTCCATAGCCAATACTACGGATGTGATGATATCATTTATATTTCACGTGCCATCTGCCTTTATGCAAAGATAAAGCAGAATGAAGAGGCTCTTCAGCCATTTCTTACTTTCTTAGCTACAGGAAGCTTAATTAAAACAAAAATGGCAATTTGCAACACTTACCACTCCTCTTTTGGAGAAAGGCCATCTTGGCTTTTTGGATTCTGGGTGAAATTAAAGACAATATATTATTACAAGTACTTAGAGTTACTAGTGACAGATCATTGCAGTGCTTTACAAAACCTGCTTTTTGAAAATTAGCCAAACAGAATTCATCCTGCTTTAATTATCTTTCTCTTGAGAATGCACAAAATGAATATTAATATTTTTGCAGATGAGTGAATGAAGCAATGTTGCAACCTAAAAGTTGGTGTTCTGTTGCTGCCTTAAGGTGGTATTGTCCTGTTTCTTTACTGGTGTATTATTTAAACTCCTTTTCCTCATCGCTTGAGGAGAAATCTGTAAACTGTACTCTAAGATGTTGAGTAATTTATTTAAGACAGGGAACCAGAGCACTTTGGGGCTAAAAGGACAGGCCCTTCATTTTCACACTGTCTTACCAGAACCCTCCCACCACATGCAAACTTCAGTAGCCTGAGCAAATGGGAGACTTGGAAACTGCCTTCACTCATAATCCCCAGATGTGGTTAAAGGAAGACTCCCAAAATAGAGAACATTAAAACGTCACCAATTTTTATGCTGGGGCTTCTTGCTTCTGGCCATCAACTAGGAGTTGCTTCGACTTGAGAAAGAAGCCATTATTCAATCCCTCATTCTTTTGAAGACCAGGAAGGAAAGAGATTCGATTGGGTTCTAGCCTTTTGAATTTTATGCTGTTTGCATAAAGTTGTAATGCTAGCAAAAGCTGAAAATTGTCTCTTAGGTGTGGGTGGCATGTTCTGACCATTCGGTGTACAAAAGGGATGTCTTATACGTCCATCTCTCTTTCTATCAGATTCCCCAGGAGAGGGTGTGTAATAATTCAATCAAAGGAAGCAATGATCTGAGCAGCATTAACTGCAAAGATGTGCTTAAGGCACCTTCCTACTGTAACCTTGGGAGGCACCTGCCCAACAGATTATCCTCACATTCATTTTGACCACGTTATTGATCTTTATTAAAGGGAGATTAGGTGGACTCTCCCTTAGGCACAAATCAGCTTCACCACACTTAGCTCTCCCATGCCTGGTGGTAAATTACTACATCCAATTTGAACTGCAATAATTGGGGTCTCTGATCCTTGGCCAATTTCTCTCCTGTGCTTTTCTAGCTTTGGAGCCTTGGGAAAGCTTTGTGAGTATTCAGAAGATTCATGAGTCTTTATTGAATCCACAATCTTTCATTATCTGTCTTAAATATACAATTTTGCTAAACCAGAATCTTGATTTCAACTATATCTGCGGGTGACTCATATGCACTGCAAAGCGTGAGCAGCCCTGCGTTAGCCCATGACTTGGGAACATGAGGTCTCTATTCTAAACTCCTGAGAAGAGGGCAGAGGGGTATAGAGAGGATGCTGCTTATCTTATGCTGTGTGGTATCTACCATGATGCTAGGCACACACAAAAATAACAGCTAGTGAGATGTAGAAGCAGCGATGACCTTGTTCCTTAGTATGTGGTTCTCAAACTGTAGCTGGCATCAGAATCACCTACAGAGCGTGTTAAAAAAGACTGCTGACTGGGCGCGGTAGCTCGAGCCTGTAATCCCAGTATCTTGGGAAGCCGAGGCGGATGGATTACCTAAGGTCAGAAGTTCGAGACCAGCCTGACCAATATGTTGAAACCTCATCTCTACTAAAAATACAAAAAAATTAGCCAGGCGTGGTGGTGGTCACAGAGTGAGACTCTGTCTCAAACAACCACCACCACCACCACAACAACAACAAATAAAACGGACTAACAGATTGCTGGACACCACCCCCAGAGTTTCTGATTCAGAAGGTCTTGGGGGTGGGGAGCCTGGAATCTGCATTTCTAACAACTTCTCAGGTGAGGGCAAAGCTGCTGGTCCAGGACAGCCTTTGGGAACCACTGTTCTAGTTGTTAACTAATTGAGAGCATTCTAAAGCCTCTTAAAATGTACTAACCTCTGTTAAGGCCACATTGTGTTTAGAACTAGCTTGGATTTCTAGGGGCATGTCCTCAAGCAGATCACTTAACCCCTCTTGGTTTGTTCACTTGGATTATTGTATCACATAAGACAGTAAGTAGATGTGAAAGAGTCTGTAAAAATAAAGAGCTGTAAACATGTTATGATTTATTCACTGGTGGCCCTGGGCTTCACATACAGGAGACTGCAGCTGCCCATACAATAGATGACAGATGATGACAGATGCAGGCTGGTAGAGAGGGCACCGGACTCACAGGCAGGAGCCTTGATTCCATTTCTCTGCACAAACTAGTTGACCCTATGACTAGGCCACTTCTCCTTTCTGGGTCTCACTCACACATATGTGAATGAGGGATGACCTGCTGGTTTTCAAACTCTTTTGTCAGGTGTCCGAGGCTCCTGGGATGCCTTGGAGGTGAGTCTTTGGGGCTCATCCCAGCTGCAAGCATTGCAACTTCACCTGGATTTGTTTTATACATTGGATTTCCAAGTAAGGATTCTTTTGTAAAAAGAACCAAACCAGTTTAAAAACCAACAGCATGGAAAATCCTTAAGTCTCCTCTTAGCTCTCAAAGGCTTTGATTTACCTATCCCAAGAATCTTGAAGAAAACACCCTGAAGATCCTAATTGTTCTTTTATTTCACAAATGAGATGAAGATGCAGCTTTATGCCTAAAGCTGCCTCTCTATCAGACACTCATCTGCCACCGCCACCTCTGCCTCCCCATGGTACCACCCTGGTTGGAAGATACCAGTGTGAGGCTGAAGCCCAGGAGTGGGGTGGGAGAGGAACATGACAGCAATGATGGGGAAGCTACTCACCAGCCTGAAGAGGGCACTCTGATCTAAGATGCTACACCTGTCTCAGGTCTTGGACCTGGGATAAGACATTTGACCGGAAGACATTTTAAGGGAAGAGCCACACCTTATTCATCTCTGTAAATGGAATGCCCAACACCAAGACTGGTACTCAGCTGGTTCCAGTAATTCCAGTAACAGCTGGTGCCTGTTGTCATTGGTGAGGCTGATTCTAACTGGTCAGTGCATATATTCTACTAATTATTCAATATTTTCAAAACTCCCCCTGGTTATGGCAATATCTGTTCCACAGCGGGCATGGAATGAAAGTATACTGAATGAACAGAACCTGAATTCAGCAGCAGAAGTGGGTGGCATAGGTAATCAGCAGCTCCATCTGACACCAGAAGGTCCCCAGGGAACACCTCAAGTCCAGGTAAGTTCAGCACCACAGAACTCCGCCTGTGCTCGTAGAACCTGTGCTCAAGAGACAAAAGGAAAACCATGCCGAAATATCATCTTACACCACTCGGAATGGCTATTACTAAAAAGTGAAAAAACAACAGATGTTGGCATGGTTGTGGAGAAAAGGGATGCTTATACACCATTGGGGGGAATGTGAATTAGTTCAACCTCAAGGGAAAACAGTATGGAGACATTTCAAAGAACTAAAAATAGAACTACCATTCAACCCAACAATCCCACTACTGACTATCTACCCAAAGGAAAAGAAATCATTGTATAAAAAAGACACCTGTACACATATGTTTATTGCAGCACTATTCCCCATAGCAAAGTCATGGAACTGACTTAAGTGTCTATC